CTGGCCTTTCCTTCAGGGGAGAGCTTCCTCATTTCTCTCTCAGGAGAGCAGCGTCGGTGGGCAGGGGCCCCAGGGGAGAGGCCCACCCGCAGGAGCCCGTGCCTGGCAGTCAGAACCCTTAGGCTTCATCTTTGGCCATTGTACCTGAGCAACCACACACCCCAAAGTCAAAGCCAATTACAATTTAAAATGCGTGTCCACAGTGAAATACTGATGGATGAAATACCATAATGTCCAGACTTTGCTTTCCAGTAACCTGGCAGTGGGGGAGGGGCCAGGGTGTGGAGGGAGTGTTTAGGAAATGAATAAAATCTAAAACAGGGTGATGAGGACCTGGGAGGGTTTTTATTCTCCTCTATGGACCTTTGTGCATATTTGGAAATTCCTGTAATTAAGCTTTAAAAGGCATCTAGGTGAAGTCCTTGCTCAAAAGGAAATGACTGGCCCCCTACTGGTGCCTTTCAGATAACCCTGGAACGTGAACATACAAGTTCACTTCAACGTACAGCTTTTTTTCTTTCTTTTGTTTTATTAAATTTCTTTTTAGAGAGAGAGTATGAGCAGGGGAGAGGGGCAGAGGGAGAGAGAGGGAGGCACAGAAATCCGAAGCAGGCTCCGGGCTCTGAGCTGTCAGCACAGAGCCCGACGCAGGGCTTGAACTCACGAGCCGAGCCATGAAATCATGACTTGAGCCGAAGTCGGACGCTTACCCCACCGAGCCACCCAGGCGCCCCTTTCTTGTGTTTTTTGAGTGTGGCTGACACACAACATTGCATCAGTTTCAGATGTTTAGCGTGGTGACTTGACTTTTTCTCTTCATTCCTAAATTTTGTCAATTGTGGTAAAATACACCCAACGTGTATTTTGCCGTCTTAACCGTTTGCAAGTGTGTGCTTTGGTGGTGTTAAAGCACATTCATGAGGCCGTGCAACCGATTTCTAGAACCCCTACATCTGATCAATGCATGGTTTTGCATTCTCGCTAGACTTCTCACCATTCCCCTCACCTACCCCCCTTTCCCACCCATAAATCTCTTGGATGGAGGAACTGGAGGCCAGGTTTCCCAAGTTCCAGAGCAAGGTGCCCTGTTGACAATCTGGGTGGCAGATGCAGAGCCAGGCCAGCTTGCCCATGACCAGCCGGCGGGCCAGCCGGGCCGCCTGGACTTCCGGCAGTGGTGGCACTGCCGTCCTGGTTGGCTCCTGCGGGTCTGAGCTCTCTGCCCCAGGACAGGCCCCTGAGCAAGTCCTGGCAGCTCTCAGCTCCCACCCTACCCTGCAGGCTGGGGCTGCTCCGGTCACTGGGGAGGGCTGGCAGGAGGGATGAACTGAGGCTCCTCCCCGGCACGGGTGACTCAGGGAGGGCAGTCCTGGGCCCAGGAGTCCACTTTCACCCTAGGGCGTGGGGCAGTCTCCCCGGGTGCAGTGTCAGGTCCCTAATGCCTCCATCCCCCCAGCCACACACCCCCTGAACGAGCTGGCAGCGGCTGGAACAGGCACCTAGCAGTCAGCCTGCTCTCTGCCAGGTCTAAAATCCGCAGGCTGCCTCTCTGGGAAGGCCTAGCTCTCTTCCCCGGGGCTGGGGCCTGGCTCTGCTCCAGGGGGACCGGAGAAGACAAAGGAAGGCGAGGAGTGAAGGGCAGGTGGGGGACACACAGCCGTCAGGCCCTTCCTTCACAGCGCTGCCATTCCATCTTCCAGGCGGTTCTGCGTGTTCATACATGAGGAAGTTGAGGCTCGGAGGTCACCAGAAGTTACAGACTGGGGATAGTGCCAAGCCTGCCTCTCTTCCTCCTTCTCCTGGTTAGAAAGAAGTCATACGGTGGCTTTTTTGCAGATGGTGTGCTGGACACAGCCAATTGTCAGGTCCCGGAGGAGGTCCTGGGAGGTCTGTTCATAGACTGGGGGCCAGTCGCTGTGCATTCAGGCCTTGCTGTCTCCTGAGGGTGACAGACAGATGATCCACGAATGCCACAGGGACGGAAGGTGGGGGGAGGAATCTTGTCTGGGAGGTTGGGCGAGGGACACAGCAGGTGCCCTCAGTAGGTGCTCCCAAGGACCAGCTCTATCAGAGGAATACACTGAGGCAGTTCCCAGCTCAGAGGTGCACAAGACAGGGCAGAGGCCAGGCCCGAGGGAGATGCAGGGCCAGTCCTGAAGCTGGGATGCCACCTTTCGAGAACACGAGATTAGGGACAGAATGCGTGGGCTGGAACGCACCCTCTGGGGCAGAGTGGGCGAGAGCCAGGAGCCCAGGCCTGGGCCTAAATGCTGCAATAGTCAAGGAGAAAGGTGATGAGGCCAGAGGTGGCAGGCAGAGAGAAGGGGACAGTCCCTAGTCATCACCACGGCTAGGTTCCGGGATTTTAAAATTAAAAAAAAAAATTCTTTTTAGTTATTTTTTAATGTTTTATTTACTTTTAAGAGAGAGATAGAGACAGCATGAACAGGGGAGGGTCAGAGAAAGAGGGAGACACAGAACCTGAAGCAGGCTCCAGGCTCTGAGCTGTCAGCACAGAGCCTGACGGGGGGGGCTCAAACCCACGAACCATGAGATCATGACCTGAGCCAAAGTCGGACGCTTAACCGACTGAGCCACCCAGGCGACCCCCAAAATATTTTTAATGTTTATTTGTTTTTAAGAGAGAGAGAGAGACAGAGTGTGAACAGGGGAATGGAGGGAGGCAGAGAGAGAGACGGAGACACAGAATTCAAAGCAGGCTCCAGGCGCTGAGCTGTCAGCACAGAGCCCGACACGGGGCTCGAACTCATGAACTGTGAGATTGTGACCTGAGCCGAAGTTGGCGCTTAACCGACTGAGCCATCCAGACGCCCCTTAAAAATGTCAAATTTATTTATTTTGAGAGACTGAGACAGTGCAAGTGGGGGAGGGGCAGAGAGAGAGGGAGACAGAGAGAGTCCCAAGTAGCCTCTGCGTTGCCAGCATAGAGCCTGATGTGGGGCTCAAACCCATGAAACCTCAAGATCATGACTTGAGCAGAAATCAAGAGTTGGATGCTTACCCGACTGAGCCACCCAGGTGCCTCTGGGCTCTGGGATTTTCAAGTCCTGGCCACTCTCAAGCAGCAAGGACGCACATAGTCTCCAGCACGAGGGGAGACCGACTGGAGACATGGATAGTGCATGTTGGGTGGGAACACCAGCTTGAAGTCAGGCCCTACGAAGCATTTTGTCCTTCCAACAAACTTTCCTCTCTTCCCCATCAGGAGATGGGGAGGACAAACCAACAGGTACGGACGCCCACCACCTGCCAGGAGCTGCGTGGAGTGCCTCACAGACTTTATTTCGCAGGACGTCCTTTCCGAGGTGAGAAAACTGAGGTGCAAAGAGAGAAAGCAGATGGTCCCAGGCCAGCGGATTCAGGAAGTGGGTGCAGCCAGGGAGCCTGCTTCCCTTCCCCTGGCCGGGTGCCCGAAGTGCCACGCCCCATGGCTGCACACAGTGAGTCCCATGTCTAGGAGGCAAGAGACCCAGGTTCCGGCCCCAGCTCTGCCAGGAACTGGCCATGATAGGCGTTCTGGGGGAGTTTTTCCATCAGAGGAGGGTGAGCTGAAAGTCCCCAAGGGTTCAATGTAATGCTCTACGGTTTATGTCCTAAGGTTTATGCTTGTGAATGTGTGCGGGAAGGCATGAGGGTAGAGGGCACAGGGCATGTGGCGGCGGACAAGGAGGAACTCTCTGGACTGGGACCAAAGCTGCCTCTCTCTTGGGGCAGCTGGTCCCCTCGGCCCTGCACTCCCCACCCAGGGGATCAGGACAAACTCAAAGGGCTCAGAAAAACCAAGCAGGAAAGGAATTATCTGCCAGACCAGCTTCCCCACATGGCAGGAGGGAATGGAGGAGGGGGGGACAATGTCCTTAGCAGCCTGGAGCTTAGAGCTATGCAGGAGGTGGGGGGGACAGACGGCCAGGCTGGAGGGGACATGGGCAACTTTCTTTCTTTTTTAGTTTACTTTTTTATTTACTTTGAGAGAGAGAGAGTGAGCTGGGGAGGGGAAGAGAGAAAGAGAGAGAGAATCCCAAGCAGGCTACACACTGCCAGTGCGGAGCCCAATGCAGGGCTGGACCTCATGAATTGGGAGATCACGGCCTGAGGGGAAATCAAGAGTTGGACGCTTAACCAACTGAGCCACCCAGGCGCCCCAGTTTTGTTTCTTTGAACGAGAGTTCTGCTAGGGGGATAGAGCCAGGCTGCTTGCTGCCCCTGCTCCAGCCCCCCTGCATTCTGCACCCAGCCGGGTTCAGAGAAGTGGCTCCAGCTCCCTGCGGAGTGACCAAAGCGACCCAGGGACCCCCAGCCTCTATCTGCTCCTCTCCACTGTGCAGCCACTTCCTTTGGATTCCATTCAGCCAGGAAGGCCCCTCCTGCCCTTCTCCCCTCCCCTCTCCTCCCTGTGTTTAACATCTCTAGGCTCCAGGGTATCTTCTGATTTTTTTTTTTTAATGTTTATTTTTGAATATGAGAGAGACAGAGTGCGAGTACGGCGGGGCAGAGAGAGAGAGAGAGAGAGAGAGAGAGAGGGAGGGAGACACAGAATCCGAAGCAGGCTCATGGCCTGATGCAGGGCTCAAACCCATGAACCATGAGATGGTGACCTGAGCCGAAGTCGGGTGCTCAACCGACTGAGCCACCCAGGAGCCCCAAGGTATCTTCTGATTTCTTTCCCTCCTGTTGGGATGTTCCAAAATACTGAACACCCTTCCTCTCCCAGCTCCTTCTGGCAGCCTGGTGCAGACAAAGAACACTGGACTTGGGGGACTGGTGACAGACAATCTTGGATAAGTCGCTGTGGGGTTTTTAAAAAATATTTATTTATTTTTGAGGGAGAGAGAGAGCATGCAAGCAGGAGAAGGGTGGGGGTGGGGGGAACAGAAGATCCAAAGCAGGCTCTGTGCCAACAGCAGAGAGCGCGATGCCAGGCTCGAGCTCATGAACTAGGAGATCATGACGCGAGACGGAGTCAGACGCTTAATCGATTGAGCCACCCAGGCATCCAGAGTCACTGTGTTTGTCGCAACAGGAAGGAAAAGAACTGAACCTGAGTTTTTATCAGAAATTACCTTTGACCCCCTCCCTCTCCTCATGTAATTTCTTCCCTAGGCAAGACAATTCTTCATTCAAACTACCTCATGAATGTCCTCCATCTCTTCCTTTCCCCACTGTCCCTGCCCTCTGTGGCTCTGTGTCTGTTCCCTGGGATCCCTATCATCTGGCTGCCCTGCCTTGACCTCTTCGTTGGGTCTGTGTACACACCACTAAGTCCAGGTTGATCCTTACACCTCTCTCTCTCAATATCTCAGAGGCTCCCGGCACCTAGTTCTAACCAATAAGCTTGATTTCCCTGAGTGTGCCCTGCCTTCTCCAGCTATAGGCTCTTATTTATTTTTTTGAAGACTGGTTTAATGTTTCTTTATTTTGGAGAGCTATTATTTACTATTATTTATTTTGAGCTGTCAGCAGAGAGCCAACGCAGGGCTCGAACTCACAAACCGGGAGATCGTGAACTGAGCCAAAGTTGGACCTTTAACCAACTGAGCCACCCGGGCGCCCCCTAGAGGCTCTTGACCATGGTGAACACCTCCCGCCCTGGAAATGCTTCGCACCCTTCAAGTACCACCTCAAAAGCCATTTCCCCAGGGAGGCCTTTCCTCCCGTCCCCAAAGCTGTGACGTGTATCCTTGAGCTGAACTTTCATCTGTCCCAGCGAGTAACCCTACCAGACTGGGGGCTCCTCGAGAGCTAACATCCAGAGTAGTAGCGATGAGTTTTCTTAGAGATGAATCCTCTTAAATTTGGCACTCCCATCGGTAGTAAACGGGTAAGGATGGCACAGAATCCAAGGGATTGCAAACTGGTGACCCGTGAGCGAAATCTGATCCACGAGACTTCCACGACACGCTTTCTTTTCTTATTTGTGGTTCAATTCACATAACGTAAAATTAACCATTTTAAAGCGTCTAATTCAATGGCACTTAGTACACTCACGATATTGTGCAATCACCACCTTTCATGTTCCAAAACATTTCCTCATCGCCAAAGGAAACTCCATGCGCTTTAAGCGTCACTCATTTCTCCTTCCCTACAGCCTCTGGCACTAATCTGCTTTGCATCTCTTGGGATTTACCTACTTCACACAAAGGGAATGATACCACAGGGGGTCCTCTGCGTCTGGTTTATTACAGTTCGCGTGATTTTTTTGGAGGTTCATCCCCGCTGGAACAGGTGTCAGAAGTTCATTCCTTTTTATGGTTGAATAATATTCCACGCCATTGATATACCACAGTGTGTTTCTCCATGCATCAGTTGATGGGCAGTTTGGACTGTGTCCACCTTTGGCTATTGTGAAGAGTCCCGCAGTGATCATTGGTGTACAAATACTTGTTTGAGTCCCTGTTTTCAATTCTTTGGAATATACACCTAGAAGTGGAATTGATGGATCATTCGAGGACTCTGCTGAGCCTTTTGGGGAAGGGGCCTGCTTTAATGTTTTGAACCTGAATACCTTTAGGTGTTCATCTCTGTCTCTGTCTCCATCTCCTCTACTGTCTTACACCCATTTGACTCACATTGTCTGGCCCCTGAAGGCATCTGAATTTGCTGCCCCTGGAAGGCTCTGGCGGCAAAACAAAAAGGGAGGGAGAGAGAGAGAGAGAGAGAGAGAGATAGGAAAGAAATCTTAACGCCCAGCCCAGTCACTAACGAGCCGGAGCCCTTGGGTAAATCTCTCCAGATCTCGGAGTACCTTTTACTCAACCCAAAACGGGTAATAACGCTTACCGAAGAGGAGGCGGCGAGGATCTGGGAGATCTGGGAGGTGATGGACGGAACGCGCCTCTTCGGAAGCTGCCGAGTTCTGGAAGCGGAGAGGGACGGGCGAGGCCGCGAGGAGGAGGAGGAGCGGGGCTGGCTGGACGCCCTCTGGGGACGTGGGCCGCGCGGGGGCTGCCGACCCGCCGGGGGTGCGCGCGGCGCGGGGCGCAGCCGGCAGGGGGCTCGGGCGGCTCCGGAGCGCGGCGCCTCCGCGGGCCGCGGCCGGGGTGGCGCGGCGAGCCCGGGCGGGGCTCAGGTTGGCTGCCGGTGGGCGGGGGTTGCCCCGCGTCCCCGCCCCCCACATCCGGGGGCCCGGCCGGGCTCTGGGCTGGCGGCGCGCCGGTGAGTCAGGCCGGGTTTTCCCTCCGCCTCTGGGGCAGGCAGGCGAGCGCCACGGAGCGCGTCCCTCCCTCGCCAATCCGGCTCCGGCGCCTGCCCGCCCGGCCGCTCGCCCGGCCGCGTTTTCCAGGCGCCTGCCGCCTGGCCGCTCCGGCCCGGCTCGCATTCTCGCCTGGAGCCGGCGCTTGGAGGGAGGGTTCGAATCCGCGCGAGGGAACTGTCGCGCGCTAGGGGCGCGGAGCGGCGCCAGCATGGTGAGTGGGACACGGCGGGGGCCGGGGACGGGGCTTGGGGTGGCCGCGGAGGTCTCGCTTTCCCGGCGACCTTGGCCAAACCGCAGCCCTTCGCCCGCATGGTGCCGTCTGAGAAGTGGGCGGGGGTGGCAGGGTGCGGTGTGCGCCCAGGTGCCCCCTGCTTCCAGACGCTGAAGCACCGAGGCGCGGGACCAGGGACCGAGCGCGGCGCTCCTGTGGAGGGGCCGGCGGCAGGTTACGCTGCTCTCCGCAACCCCTGTGAATGTGCTCTCCCGGACCCCGGCGCCGCGGCCGGGGTGGGGCCCGCGCCCTTGGCGCGGGAGTCCGACCTGGGCTTCGGGTCCCCGGCTCGACCGCTCCAGGCAGGCCCCAGGGAGGAAGCAGCAACAGACGTCCCCTCTGGCCCCCCCAGGTAGCTTGCCGGACCTACGGCAGTTCTGGGGAGCCCACGCCCCTGTCACAGCCTTCCCTGGGCGGGGTGAGGAGTGGGGGCTTCCGTGGGGATGCCAACGTCGTCTGCTCCTCTACCTTCCCCACAAGACCCCTCTCTTGTCCCCTCCGCGATACCCCCATCCTGCTCCAGTCCCCTGCTCAGTAACGGCGGCAGCTGCCGGCTGCCAGGGATCACGACCTGTGGGGACGCTACCAGTTTTTGGCGGCTGGAGCACCAGCCCAGTCTGGCCACAACCTTAGCCAAAGAGAGGACCAGCCTGCGGCCAGGCCCCCCTCAGATCCCTGGCTGTGTCGGGAAAGAGGACTGGGACCCGTTGCCTCCCACCCGGCACCCAGTCCGTTAGTGCAGATTGGGGCTCTACTCGCTTGCACCTGCGGCTTAGCCCGGCTGACCTGCAACCTTGGCCCTCCGGTGCCCTCTCCCTGCCCAGCCAAGAAGGGAGTGGAGGCAGGAGGCCATCCTGGGCCCAGTGATCGGCCGCCTCCCAGGGCTCTCCTGGGCAGGGCTTCTCTGCCGGCTGGCTGAGTGTGGGTGTGCATGTGCTAGACTGTGAATGAATGCGGCCAGCCTGCTCCCGCCTCTAAAACCAGTACCTTCCAGGGCTCGGAGTCCCCATGCGGCGGTGTTTCCACTATTTCTCTTTGACCCAGGGTCGGGCGGGAAGAATTCCATGCTGAGGGGACTGGAGTCCGAATCTCTACCTGGTTGCCGATGCCCTTGAGAGAGGCAGGTGTGGGGGGCTGGGCGGACACACACGCAGCAATGTGTGTCCATGGAGGGGAACTGGTGACCTCTAGCCGGGACAGCAGTAGAGAGGGCTTTGCCCAGGGATTTGGAATTGTTCATCATTGTGGGATCTTGGGCAGCTGGCTTCTAGGCCTTTCTGGGCCTCAGGTTCCTTGCCTGCCCCCTTGTTGTGGAGGTGAGCTCAGACGATGAAATCAAAGGGCTCAGAAAAACTGTAGAGTGTACGCCTCTATGTGACTCTGTAGCGATACTGAGATACAGTCCTTTGGGGTTAGATGCCTGGCTTTGCCTCTTCAGGTGTCACAGTGTAACTAGGGTATGCCAGCCTCTCCCGTCGTCTCTGCCCGGGCCCCCCCTTACCCACTGCCCTCTTGTGGAGCTGGGACATTCCAGTCCAATTCTTCAGGGGCAGCTGCAGACACTCCCTCCAGCAAAGCTGATCCCCCCCAGCAGGTGGTAGGCCCTTCCCCTGGGGCCTGGGCTCTGGAGGGGCTAACCACAGCCAAGGCGGGACTCTGGAGCTCCCTGCCTGCCTGCTCCAGGATGCCCCACGCTAGAGGAGACTCACGGTGCGGTCAGGAAGGGCTTCCAAACCCAAGGAGCCGGTGTACTTTCTCCAGGGCAGCTGAACATGTCTTCAGGCACGTGCTTTCACCTCCTGGGCCCCGATTTCCTCTTCTGAAGTGGAGGATCTCAGTGTTCCCCACCTGTGGGTATCGTGAGGCCGTGGTAAGCCTTGTCAGGCTAACTAACGGACGCTGGGATGCTCCCCTGCATGTCCTGTCTCTGGTTCACGGTCAGCATGGTTCCCGAGCTTTATGTTCCTGTCTGCACCAACGGTTGATCCAAAAGAGATGCCCCTCTCTGTCCAGGGCTTCCAGTGCCGCTGGCTCATCTTGAGGCCAGGGGTTGGGAACAGGAGCTAAGGGGCCCTATTGGGGCCAGCTGCAGCCTGTGCAGAATATGGCCCAGCCCAAACCTAGCCACCGGGAGTTGGGGGGAGGGGCTCTCAGCTCTGTGAAGAGCTCTGAGCCGGCAAGCCCTTGGAGGCATTTGGAGGAGGCCCTGCCTTTTGCCCTGATGTTCCCATGGGGGTTGCAAGGCACTTGCTGTCTCTCCCTCCCACCTCTCTGCCCAGATCCTCTCCACTCCAGCCCGCACAGCTGCCCTGGCCTGATCAGGCCATTCCCTGGGCCTCCAAGCAACGGGGAAGGAATGCGTGTGTTGGGGGTGGGGTGGGGTGGGATAGACCCCTTTAGGAAAAGGGACTGTGCCCAGACTGAGACCTGGGCAGGGTGGAGCCTCCTAAAAGCCAGGGGCCTCAGCCCTGCTGGGAGAGCTGATAATACAGCCAGAGAAGTTACCTAGGAGGGGCGAAGGGTGGAGGGCGAGGGCCTTGGGGAAAGACAAAAGAAAGGGGCTGTCTGTGCCCCCCTTCATCCAGCTCCACAGCTGTTTCTAACTGCTCAAATCACACATGGAGGGAAGCCCCTCACCACACACACACACACACACACACGCACGCACGCACGCACTCCTTCATACCCTTTGCATCTAGCCTGGGGGCTGGGGAGGACAAGTGGGTTTTTGTGCTAGAGTAATGCTGGAGCATTCGTGTGTGTGTGTGTGTGTGTGTGTGTGTGTGTGTGTCCATGTGTCCCAGAAGATGCTCAATGCCGCAAAGGTGACCTTGTGTATGACTGTGTCTGCTGTAGATGTGACTGTCCGTGCTGTATCCTGTCATATAGGAACCACTGTGCTTCTGGCTTCAGTGACTAGATTGCAGTTTGTATGTGGGGTATGCGCTTTTGTGGTCCATGGCTGCCTCTGGTTCAAGGACCCTTCGCCTTGAACCTGGGACCATTTGTAGGGAACATGGGGTGCTGGTTATCTCTCCCTGAGATGGGAAGTAAGGATCTGCCCAGGGGAAGGTGACACGGTGTGTATTTGGGGTGAGGTGGACATGTTTGGCACCACTGCCACCCCCACCCTGACCCCCATGCTTGCACTGGGCTTATGGTTCATGAGACCTTTCACTTCCATTGTCTCTGTGACAGAAACCCAAAGGGGAGCCAGGGCAGACAGTCTTTCCCCACTTCAGAGATGGGGAAACTGAGGCATGTCAAAGGGCTATGAGATAGTGTCTGGGGTCCCCATGGAAGGCGAGTGTGAGGACAGGACTGGAGACCAGGTTCTTTGCTGTCTGCCTTCCTGAGAAGCAGTGACAAGAGTGAAGTGTGTTCATGGTAAGGAGGTGTCAGTCAGATTGGGAGGCAGGATACTTTGTGTTCTATTTCTTTCTTTCTTTCTTTTTTTTTTTTTTAATTTCTAGGAGAGAGAGAGAGAGATAGCGTGAGCAGGGGAGGGTCAGAGAGAGAGGGAGACACAGACTCCGAAACAGGCTCCAGGCTCTGAGCCGGCAGTCTGCACAGAGCCCAACGCGGGGCTCAAACCCACGAACTGCGAGATCATGACCTAAGCGAAAGTCAGACGCTTAACCAACTAAGCCACCCAGGTGCCCCTGTGTTCTATTTATTTCTGAGAGAGCACGGTGGGGGAGGGGCAGAGAGAGAAGGACAGAGGATATGAAGTGGGCTCTGCGCTGACAGAAGCGAGCCCGATGTGGGGCCTGAACTCCCAAACCTCAAGATCATGAACTGAGCCAAAGTCGGACGCTCAACCGACTGAGCCACCCAGGCACCCCAAGGATACTTCAATTCTTACTCTTTGGGCTGTGGATACCATCCTGGGCCCCCACTACACATTCAACAGCATCCTGTTGGGGTCACGGGCATCTCAGCCTGACCCGCTCTGTGACCCTGGGCAAGCCACTTCACCTCCAGGAGCCCCAGTGCCCTTACCTTAAAAAGGGGACAATGGCTGTATCACGGGATTGCGTAAGATCCCCTTTGCAGGGCTATGTCACCGTCGGTGGCCAGCACCTCTGATTCCTTACATGGATGTGTCCTCTGACCCTGTGTGCCCTGTGTCATCCTCAGAGGTTATTAGCTGAGCCCTCCCTCTCCCGGAGAGCTTTTTCTCCCACGAATACAAAACCTGGAAATGGTTGAGGAAGATGGAGCCTCCTAACAACCATTGTTTCAGGTGGGAGGGGGTGTCCCGGAAGCATATTGGGTGGGTGGGGGGCGCTTAGCTGCCACATGCCTGCTGGGTGTCTTCAGGTGGATGGGAGCAGCTGCTGGGGAGCAGGAGGCAGAGAAGGTGATGTCTGCTCATTCATCAGGTCCTTTCTGAGTATCCACCGTGTGCCTGGCCCTGGGCTGGATAGGGGGGATCCAGTGGGGTGGTAGGGCCAGGCCCCACCCTCCAGGGTGCGGATCTCAGCCCAGGTGGGAACTGGGTCCCTAACCTGGTCTCTGGGCCGCCTGCCTGGGGAGGTCATCTCTGAGCAGCTGAGCCCGGCTTCAACCAGCCTGTGTTGACCCTGGCTGTGGGCCAGGCCCCAAGCTGGACTCTATGTGCTGCTATCTCAGCCCATCCTCCCAGCATCTCTGAGTGATAAGACTTGCCGCCGTGGCCATTGTCTGCGTGAGGAAGCTAGCGACTATGACTACGTGTGACTGGCCCCACACCAGGTCAACACTTGGGACCCCCACCCGCCTGGTGGTGGGGCTTTGGAGTGGGAGCATATGCAGGGGCTGGTGGGGGCTCCCGCTGCCCCTTCCCCTGGCCCCCCCCCTGCACTGCCCCTATGACTACACGAACACCTGTTCCGGAAACTGTGGCCATTGTTACCACCATCCTTCCTCCCTTCAGGCCCTTCCTGTTTGTATCCCTCCCACCACAGCCCCCCAACCCCACCCGTGCCCGCTGCTTTGCTCAGGGGAACTCTGACCCACTGCAGGAAGAGGGGCTCAACTGGGTTTTCCCCCTCCCCAGAGAAAAAGAAGGGATGGAGAATCATAAGCCACTGGCCCTGGTTCCCTGTGCCCTCTGCCCACCCCACCCCCCAGACTGGGTGAGGAGCCTGGTAGGAGAGTGAACAATGTCAGAGCCTGGACAGAGCCTGGGTCTGCAGCTGGCCCAGTCCTGGGAGGGGCCCCATCCTGCCGCTTTGGGCCTGTTCCCCTCTGTCCCCCGGTCACACCGGCCCCTATAGCTGGTGCACCAAGCAGATGACTTTGGGGCCCTTTCTCTTGCCATCCTACGAGTCCTGTCCTGGATTTTTTCCCCCAGGAACCATATCTGCCTCCTGGGCCTGGGCCAGGCAGGTGGCTGACATAGGCAAGAAGCAGGTTTTAGAGTATTGGGGAGGTTAGGCCGGAAGTGCCTACCTGCCCCTGACGGAGCCTCCCAATCCCCAGAAGCAGCTGCCTGTGCCCTGCTGAAAGTTCATGGCCACAGCCCCGGGCCCTGCTGGCATTGCCATGGGCAGCGTGGGTAGCCTGTTGGAACGGCAGGACTTGTCCCCGGAAGAGCTACGGGCAGCACTCGCGGGGTCCCGGGGTTCCCGCCAGCCAGATGGGCTCCTCCGGAAGGGCTTGGGCCAGCGTGAGCTCCTCAGTTACCTGCACCTCCCCAAGAAGGACGGCAAGACCGCCAAGCGCGCCCCTCGGTCGGAGACCGCTGACTACACCACCCTCTACTACCGGGAGCATCCTCGAGCCGGTGACTTCAGCAAGACTTCGCTGCCTGAGCGGGGTCGCTTTGATAAGGTGCATCTCTGCCCGCCCCCCTCCCCCAGTGTTGGAGGGTAGGGATGGGGAGCTTGGGGCCTCCTTGGAGATGCTCGGATGGGGCTGGGACATGAAAATCCAGCTACAGGCTGGCCTGAGGCTTTGGTCACTGGTCACCGCCTCCAGGTGACACGCACCCCAGGTTCTCAGAGAGGATCCTGGGGGCTGTGGGAGCATTGGAGGGCAGAGCTGAGGTCAGCCCAGGGCCTCAAAGCTGCCCTTTCCTCCCGACAGTGCCGCATTCGCCCGTCAGTGTTCAAGCCCGTGGCGGGCGCTGGGAAAGGCTTCCTGTCCATGCAGAGCCTGGCAGCCCACAAGGGCCAGAAGCTGTGGCGCAGCAACGGCAGCCTGCACACGCTGGCCTGCCACCCACCCCTGAGCCCTGGGCCCCGGACCAGCCAGGCGCAGGCCCGTGCCCAGCTGTTGCATGCGCTCAGCCTGGACGAGGGTGGCCCCGAGCCGGAGCCCAGCCTGTCTGACTCCTCCAGCGGGGGCAGCTTTGGACGCAGCCCTGGCACCGGTCCCGGCCCCTTCAGCTCCTCTTTGGGCCACATTAACCACCTCGGGGGCTCCCTGGACCGGGCCTCCCGGGTCCCCAAGGAGGCTGGGCCTCTGGCGATGCTGAGCTGCCTGCCCGAGCCACCGCCCCCCTATGAGTTCTCCTGCCCCACCGAGGAGGTGGTGGCCCTGCTCCCCGACACCTGTGAGGATCTCAAGAGGGGCCTCGGTGATGAGGACGGCTCCAACCCCTTCACACAGGTGAGGGCTCGCCCTGCTCTGGGGTCCTGTTCTGTCCCTTGGCATTGGAGTACAGGACACACAGAAGGGTCCTCAGCCAGCTGACCCATGTCGCTCTGGGCACAAGAGAGTAAGGAAGATGGAGGTGGTTCAGTCGCCCAGCCCCCATCGTATGGGAATGTCATGGCAGTGGTGACCCGCCCTTGCTAGGAGTTGCTTGTAAGGGAGGAAGAGAGACTCCCTGGGCGGGCACTTCACCTCCAGGCACAGCTGGAGTGTTGTGGAGGGGGCTTGGCCGTGTGAGCGCCTGGCAGTTGGTGTCCAGGAGCGGGGGGAGCCGCGTGTGGGATATCCCCGCATGGCAGGCGCCTCGTCCCCTGGCAGGTGCTGGAGGAGCGCCAGCGGCTGTGGCTGTCCGAGCTGAAGCGCCTGTACGTGGAGAGGCTGCACGAGGTGGCTCAGAAGGCAGAGCGCAGTGAGCGCAACCTCCAGCTACAGCTATTCATGGCCCAGCAGGAGCAGCGGCGGCTGCGCAAAGAGCTCCGGGCGCAGCAGGGCCTGGGCCCTGAGCCTCGGCCCCCCGGCGCCCTCCCGGACGCTGACCCTAACACCCGACCGGAGGAGGAAGCCCGATGGGAGGTGAGACATCGGGCACCCAGAGACTTTTTACGTCCCCTTTGCCGCCTGCGGTCACCCCCATCTTCTTACCCACTTTGATTGGCTCTTGCCCATCCTGCCCCCCCCCCCCCAGGTGTGCCAGAAGACAGCGGAGATTAGCCTCCTGAAGCAGCAGCTGCGGGAGGCTCAGGCCGAGCTGGCGCAGAAGCTGGCCGAGATCTTCAGCCTCAAGACGCAACTTCGGGGCAGCCGGGCGCAGGCGCAGGCCCAGGACGCAGAGCTGGCCCAGCTGCGCGAGGCCGTGCGGAGCCTGCAGGAACAGGGCCCTCGGGAGGAAGCCCCCGGCGGCTGCGAGACCGACGACTGCAAGAGCAGGGGGCTGCTGGGGGAGGCGGGCGGCAGCAGCGAGGCCGGCAGTGGCGCAGGGGGCGCCGAGCAGCTGCGCGCGCAGCTGGTGCAGGAGCGGCTCCGCGCCCAGGAGCAGGCGCTGTGCTTCGAGCGGGAGCGGCGGACGTGGCAGGAGGAGAAGGAAAGGGTGCTGCGCTACCAGCGGGAGATCCAAGGAGGCTACCTGGACATGTACCGCCGCAACCAGGCGCTGGAACAAGAGCTGCGGGCGCTGCGGGAGCCCCCGGCGCCCTGGAGTCCTCGGCTGGAGTCCTCCAAGATCTGAGGCCAGGGCGTGAGCGGGCTGCGGAAGCACCGCCAGGAAACGGCTTGGACGAGCCCGCGCTGAGAGGGCCGGCTCCTTCCTTACACTGGTCGGGGGCCGGGGCTGCTGAGGCCGGTCAGGTGTGGGGAGGCCACCGAGAGGAGGGGTCCAGCGCTGCCGTGGGCTGGATAGGGTGCCCTCCCGGCAGAGGAGCACCGCGGCAGGGCCCGGCCCTGCTCCCTGGAGTAGAAGTGGCCCAGAGGAGGAGGCTGGGGAACCGAGAGCCCGTGATGCAGAAGGGCGGGCGTGAAGGAGGGAGGCTGGGACGGGAACATCGGCCTCCAGAATAAAACCACATTTTCTACAAGGGGTTCCCGGCTGATACGCTGGGCCTGGGCCTGGCTTGGGTCCAGAGGATTGTGGATGGTTGGGGTTGGGAGACCTTTACCCAGGCCGTATGTAGCGCCTTCCACGGTCATGGTCTGTGGGAGGCCGTGCCCCGCGCCTGTGTGCGCAGCTGATGGGCATGTGTGTTGAAGCGCGGAGGAATCCAGGCCCTAGCACCACTCGGTTCCTTAGCTGCCGTGTGGGCTGAAATTCCTTTCTTCGGCACCAGTGGGATTTTTCAGAAGGAACAAAGCCAGAGAAGCCAGAAAAACAAAAGGACAAGTCAACCAAGGAAGGCATTGCTAGAACATTCTCTTGGTAGGAAGTCTGGGCCGCAGGCATCCAGACCCCTGTTGGGTTTGGGGCCGGCCTAAGACAGCTTCCCCCAGAGCACGCAAAGGCTCCCACAGGGGCCTGCCCCTCCCAGAACGCACCTCCCATATTTCTGTCTGACTATGGAGCACCCCTACCACCCCTAGGGATGGGAGGCCCTGGGAAGGTAGAGGAGACCGAAAATTTGTGGGTGGGTTACTTGGTGAAGGACCTGTACCACCGCAGGGAAGGTGGCCTTTTCCCTGCAGGCAGTGGAAGGCCCTCGAATATTTTTAAGCAAGGTGAGATGTGATTTGATTTGTATTTTGGAAAGCTCTGCCCTGAGAGGAAGGAGACCTCCCCCTCCAGCCCTGCACGGGGCTCCCTGACCCTTGGGCTCAGCTCCCTAAAGCCCACCCTCACATCTGGCTTCCCCTGTGGGCTTTTGCTCCCTCCTGGGTAGGTGGCCTGGCTCACAGACCCAGACCCGAGCTGCCATGTAGGCGGTCCTTCCCCACTCCCTGCAGTCAAGATCAGCGTCCATATGCTGTCGTGCATTGAGGACTTCCTGTCTGTTAGGCCTTCAGGGCTTGGGGGCTCAGGGTTGAGTTAGATGTGCTTCCTGCGCACAGACCTCTTGGCCTCCCAGTGCCTGCCCTGATGGGGCAGCAGCGTCCTCTGGCGTGGTCTCTGCAGAAGCCCCAGTTTGCTCCCTTCGGCCATGATTCCCCACTTCCCAGGCCGCCTGTCAGGCCCCAGCATGTGGGTCCTGGTGGTGAGTGGATTTGTTGTGCAGGGGCACCTACGGGGCTACGGAGTATGAGCCGGTGTGCCCCACCTTTTTAGGGTGGAGAATGGGGTGTGTGCGTTGTCTGCCGTGCAGATGGTGTGTTTATGGCCGTGTAAGTGGCAGGTGTGTGTAGAGCTGTCTTGTGGGTGGTGGGTGTGTCTGGGGGGTGTGTCTGGGGCCCCTGGGTTGGAGGCCAGGAGGGCTGTTTCCTGGCCACTCCCTTCTGCCCCATTTCTTCCTGCCAGTCCCTGCTCCTCTTGGCTCTGGACAGGCTTGGGTAGAGCCTGTGGCCAGGGCAGACCCCTGTGCCTAGATCCTCTGCTGGGCTGGGGGGCGGGCGCGGACAAGGAGCACCCAACTTAGGCAGGCCAGTCTCCCACAGGCCTTGGAACCCATTTCAGACTTCTCCAAACTGAAGTCTCTGGGCCAGTGACCCTCCAGATGCCCCCTCTCCTCCCCCCTCCCCAGCAGGGCAAGGTGCTGACCTGAAACCTGGGTCGCTCCCTCCCCACAGCCTGGAGCTGGGCAGGCTGGGTGCCCAGGTGCCCCACAGTGGCTGGGGTCCACCTTTCTGTGAACCATCTCTGAAGGACAGCTCTCCACCCTGCAATTAGAGAGCTGGGCCGGCCAGTACAGCCAGCGGGGAGTGGGTGGGCGGTACCAAAACTTGGCAGGTGTGCCAGAAACCAGGGCCAGACCCAGATGCAGGGGGAGGGCACGAGGGAGCTGAGGCTGGGGTGGCTCCGAGGGAACCGGATCCCCGTGAGCTCATCCCTGCTGGGCAAACCAGTTCCCTGGTCCCCAAGCCGGCTGGGTGGCTCCACGACCAGCTGGTCACAGGAGCCACTGCAGTGGCTACGGCTTTGGAGCAGCCCCTCCCTCCTGCGCCTGGCAGGCCCCTTAGCTCGCCAGCTGCCCAGAGGCCCCTCTCCCCTGGCACAGTAGGCCCAAGCAGCCAGTTCTCCAGAACCGAGGCGAGCTCCCCACCCTGGGCTCCTTGCCCCTGCTCCCTTCTGTTCTCAGCTCAGATAGTGTCACATCTTCCAATCTCTCCCTGGGCCCCCTCAGCCTATTGCTTGAGGCCTCTGACAGCCTGGTCTCCACAGAGCCCTGGATAGTGGTCACCCTTTCTGACCCCATCAGCCCCTCGCAGCGCCTCTGAGCTCTCGTCCTCCAGCCAGAGGCTCCTCACAGCGCCCAGATATTGTTTCCTCAGCAAAGCCTTCCCTGAATTCATGCCCTGCCCCGCCTGGGCAGTCTCCCCCCCCCCCCCCCCCCGTCCCTGTGCCTACAGACCCCTACTTCTGCTGACTTTGTTGGTCTCTCCATGGGGCCATGGGCACTGCCAGGCAAGGTGTGTCTTCTGTTTTTGTCCCCAGAGACCGCTCTGGCTCCAGCCCAGAAGGCACTGGAGGGTTTTGGAGTCCAGAGGAACCAGACCTCTCCCTGGCTGTCATGGGTTCAAGGTGGGGGTGAAGTGGAGTAGATGGGGAAGTGTCCTGCTCTGAGTGTTCATTCACCATTCACGGACACCAAGCACTGGGGCTGTAGAGCCAGTCCCCATTCACTGCCCAGGGAGGTACTGCGTGCCATCGTGGCCAATGACCCTGCCCCCATGACCTTTCCCTGTGGCTGGGTGAGGGAGACAGCACACACATCTGTCCTTGGTAGTGACTGGACCAAAATAGCGCAGACATATACATCGCGGTGGCCAGTCAGCAGGGCATGGAGAAGTAAATTTCTCAGACCGGGTATTATAGGTATTAGGGAGCCTTTCTCCAAAGAGGAAGTGTGCCCCATGGTGACAATTCAGATTGCATAACTCACTGCCCTAGTGGGCGGGGCTTAGCTCTCTATGGATTAGGAAAAGAAAAAGAAATGTGCTATTTCTTGCAACAAAGCGAAAGGTGAGGCATAAGTGCTGAGGAGTTCAGAGGAAAGCTGGCTCACTTTTCACTGCATGTGATGAGAGGTGTGTATTTGACTGTACTTTGAGCCTGACCTTGGCAAGGTCCTTATATGGTCCAGTTCTGGCAAGATTGCTGCTAAGTTTAGCCAGAAACCCCCTTCATCCACATATGACGATGTTCCTTATGTAATCTCCCACCATCCCCAGGCAACGGCTGGCCTGCCTTCAGCGACTCCTGTGAGGTGCATTTAGCCAGACTCTGCCTCTGGACCCCAGAGGTTTTCTCTCAGTAATTTTTCATCCACTGACCCACCCCCACCTGCTCCTTGGCTGTAAATTCCACTTTTCCTTGTCGTATTTGGAGTTGAGACCACTCTCTGTCCCCTGCTACAAAACTCACATTGCCATAGCCTCTCTTGAATAAAGTCTTCCTTCCCAAACTCTTTGACAAGGGTCATGAGTAATTTTTCTTTAGCAAGGATAAACTTCTCTGAGGAAGGGAAATTGGGAGGATTTCCTCAGGAGCCGGGTGGGATGAGAACATCCAGGATTGGCCTGGAATTGGACAAAGAGAGGTGTGGGGCAGGTCCAAGGGATGGTCCTGTCTGGAAGGGCCTAAGGGGAGGCAGGTCAGCCCCTGGTGCGCCTGGTAAGTTGGCAGAGGAGGACTGTGAGTGGGTCCCTCAGGCAGCCAAGGGGGAGGGCTGGAACTGGGACTAGCTTTACGTGTGTGTGACCTGTGTTGTCACTCCAGACCACACTCAGAAGGGCCCTGCGCTTGGTGCAATGCTCTCCTGTTGCCATCTTGAACTATTTACTGATGTTTGAACAAGGAGCCCTACGTTTCCATCTTGGTGCAGAGCCTACGGATGAAGCAGCTGCTTTGGGGCTGAACCAAGCCCTCGCAAGGAAGGGCAGCAAGAGAGAGAAGGCGCAGGGGACTGGCTGGGTGCCACCTGGAGGATGGAAGGAAGAGACGGCCTGAGCAGGTAACTTGAGCTCCACGGGCTGAGGCCTGATGCTCCCACGTTCCACACAGGGCAGGCAGGGTCTGCATCACCTGTTATTGCCCTCAGCCCAGCTCGCAGAAGAGGATCCATCTTTTCTTAGCTTGGCCTTCCAGGGCTCACTCTGAGAGGCAAGGAAGGCTGTATTTTCAGAAGAACACGCGGGGTATTGTCTTATCCAAGAACTTTTTTCTTTTTTTAAAAAAAGTTTATTTAGAGAGAGAGAAAGAGCAAAAGTCTGAGCAAGCATGAGCATGAGTGGGGGCAGGGGCAGAAAGAGAGGGAAAGAGAATCCCGAGCAGGCTCCTCACGGAGCCCAATGTGGCGCTCAATCCCATGAACCAAGAGATCATGACCTGAGCCAAAATCAAGAGTAGGATGCTTGACTCACTAAGCCACCCAGGCATCCCTCCCCACCCATTTTTTTTTTTAAATTTTTTTAATGTTTTATTTATTTCTAGGAGAGAGAGAGATATTGCGTGTTTTGGTGTGTTTTAGAGAGAGTGTGATTCATATTCTGAATCAGGTTCCAGGCTCTGAGCTGGCAGTCAGCACAGAGCCCGACGCGGGGCTTGAACCCACAAACCGCGAGATCATGACCTAAGCGAAAGTCGGACGCTTAACCGACTAAGCCACCCAGGCGCCCCTCCTCCCCACCCATTTTTTAAAAGATTTATTTAGTGTGCTCTTTGTGTATCTGGTCCCTCTCTCCTCCAGCATTTTTAAGGTATAATTTACATACAGGAAAATGCTTAGTTTTTATAGTTTTTATTTGTTTATTATTTATTAACATTTTTAAATGTTTATTTTTGAGAGCAAGCAAGCAGGGGAGGGACAGAGAGAGAGGGAGACAGAGAGATACCACAGAGCCTGACACGGGGCTCGAATTGAGGAACTGTGAGATCATGACCTGAGCTGAAATCAAGAGTCAGACGTGCTTAACTGAGACACTCAGGTGCCCCAAGACTGCAGTTTTGTTTTGTTTTTTTTTAATTTTTTTTAAATATTTTTTTATTTATTTCTAGGAGAGAGAGAGAGACAGCGTGAGCAGGGGAGGGTCAGAGAGAGAGGGAGTCACAGACTGAAACAGGCTCCAGGCTCTGAGCTGGCAGTCAGCACAGAGCCCGACGCGGGGCTCGAACCCACGAACCGCGAGATCATGACCTAAGCGAAAGTCGGACGCTTAACCGACTAAGCCACCCAGGCGCCCCAAGACTGCAGTTTTTAGAGCTTTGGCAAATGCAGAAAGTCGCATAACCAACACTACAATCAAGATACAGAATAGTTCCGTTATCCCCCCGCCCACCCCAAATTTCTGTATCTCCTAGTCAGCCCTCTCCCATCCTCAGCAACCAGTGGTCTGCTACCTCAATAATCTTGCTTTTATTTTTTTCCCTTTTTGTGACCAGTGTATAATCCCACCGCATATCAGAACATATTACAAAGTAGAAACTAAAACAATATGACATTGGTGTAAAAATAATACATCTCAGTGGAAGGAATGAAGAGCCAGAAATAGATTCCATTCGGTAGAAAATCTTAATGTTACGATAAAAGGCTTTGAAACAAGAAGGTAAGGTAGGATCATTTGATAAGAGGTACCAGGATGACTGGACACAATTTGGAGAAAAAATTAAGTCCTACTTTGCACTGCCTCTTGCAAAATAAAATGGACATGTACTGAAGATTGAAATTTAAAAACATCCTTAGGAAACTAGCAAAAGATGAGAGAGATTATTACTGAATTATGGAGAATAGCTAAGTTTTTCTGCTTTGAAGCACCCCACCCCTCAAACAAAAAACAAAACAAAAGCCATAGTCCCAACGAGCATGACAAAATCATCTACGTAATAAAATGGTGCACTTTGAGAAGAAACCGACAGGCAAGGAGAGCCACATGTGGGGTGGACGACGATGGCGGATAGAGGTGAAATGGCCTGCGGTGTGAGGGTGTGTTGGTGTGTGTGTGTGTACACGCATGAGCAGGGCATTCAAAGTCCTTGGAGAAGCCAGGTTTTGCTCACGCCCACCCGGACTGTGAGGCAAGCAAGGGCTCCCCCAGAGGAAGTGGGGAAGCCTGGGGCCTTAGGAAGGTCTGTGCGGTCCTGCCAACTCGGAGGCGGAGGCGGCTTCAGCCCAGCCCGTGGCTCCAGGCAGGGTTCACTCAACTCTCCGCCCCCGCGGCCCTGACGTTGGCCAGGACCACCCAGGCTCCAGGTGCACCGACAGGCCTCTCAGCGATGCTGCAACGGTTGGTCGGTGTGGGGCTGTGGACCGCCCTCTTCCCTGTGTGTGTCATAAGGTTTTGGAGCCGCCGTTTTCTCATTCAAAAGTAGAGGACATTGGCTACCTCGGAGTATTTTTCAGCACTTACTCTGTTCCAAGCACGCACTCGCACTGATGAGTGCAAAGTCATGGCCCCAATGGACCTTTTATCTTAAAGGGTGTGTGCATGTGTTAGGGGCTGGAAGACAGAATAAACGAATAAACACACAAGGCAATTTCAAGTCAAATGCTATAAACAAAACACAACTGGATTGTGCAAATGCTATACAGAAAACAAGATTGCGCAAGGATGTTTGGTGGTGGGGGTGGGAAGGAGGCCTGGAGGGTTGGAGGGGAGGTTGCTCTGGAATGAGACTGGCCCTTTTTAGGGAGCAGGAAGTCAGGGAAACGAGATCGAGCCTTTTTTCTGGCTGTTTCTAGTCCAAGTCTCCGAGGAAATAGGGAGCTTCTCTGCCACTCCTCTGCGCCCCAGGTCTGGGGGGGATCCTGAATTCAGTCCGGGTTTGGGGCCACCGCCTCCTCTCCCTACCTAACCCTTACCCTTATTCCTTAGGGCCATTTTGCACCCCCCCCACCCTACACCCCGCCCCTCAAGGAGGGCGTTCTCAGAGGGCGGGCGACACCTCTCACCAGCAGAATCTTTGTTGACTAGCCAGTGGGTGTATCGCGTACAGGCTCAGGGGACCTGCGAGGCTGGGCAGAAAAAAGAAAATTTACACGTCGCCTGATGTTTCCAAAAAGAGCACCAAGGAACCACAGCAGGAGAGCTTAACTCTTGGACCCCTAACTTGCACTATGCTGTTCGGAATTGTCCTCCCTTTGAAGGAGGGCGAAAGGCAAGGGGCGGGGGAGGCACAGTTGTTTCGGGTTTGGGGCTTCCGAGAGCAGAGTTGGGCCACTCCGGACCCGGGTGGAGAAGCCGGGGCGACCAGGCCCACGCACCCCCACCGGCCGCCAAGTGGGTCGGTCCGATTCCTTCCTACCGACTGGGAAGGTCGCAACTCTGCAGGCGGCTGAGGGCGCCCGGGGGAGCCCAAAGGCGATTGTCCAACGGCTGGAGGCGCGGCTTCCAGCGGCCGCGCGGCTCCTGCGGGCGACTCCACTCGTGGCGCGCGAGAGGGGAAAGCCGAGCGCTCGGGCCCAGAGCTTCGGGCTTGTGGGACGGCCACCCCTCCGCCAGGCCGCGAGTGGGCGGGTCCAGCTCAGCCCCGCCCAGCCCAGCCGCCGCCGCGGCTTCCGGTTCCGATGACAGCGGCGCCGGAAGCCTGGGCCTCGGCTGTGGGAAGAGGTGAGAACCGGCTGGCTTCCGGGCGGTGAGGTGCGGGCGCAGGACCAGGGGCGCCGCTCCGACCGACGGGGGCGCGGGAGCCTCACCGCGCTCCCAGGCTCCGGGCCTTCTCCGCAGCCCGTCCGTGGGCTTGTTTCCTCCTCAGTCGTCGGCCCCCGGGCAGCTGGAGTCCCACGGACTCCGTGGACCCTGGAGGAGCCGCCTCTGTCAGGAGAGTCGCTGGTACTGAGACGTCCCATCCTAGTGCGACCCGGCCGGGTCTCAGGTAACCCAGTATGGACGATGGGGCCAGACGGGCCCTTGGAGCGGGGTCTTTTGAAGGATGAGTAGGAGTTTTGCCAGTCATTTGCGCGTTAATGCAGGCGGAATTCCTAGTAGGAGTTGCGGCTTAGCGGAAATGGTGGGCCTTGTCCTCCCTCCAGTTTTGACTAATGACGAAAGAAAGATTTGAAACTTCAAATAGGGATGTGCAATGAAGAAAAGAAACAGGGTGATAAGATAGGGTGTCTGGAGTAGGGGTGAAGCAGAGGGGCAACGTTGGGTACTGTGGTGTAGGAGAGCACCTCTGAAGACGTGATGCTGACATTGGACCCTGATAAGGAGCCAGTCATGGAGTCATGGGAAGATTCAGGCGAAGAGTGTGTCAGGCGGAGGGAACAGCCAGTTGGAGGTCCTGAGACGGAAATAAACTCAGGGTAGTCAGGGACAGGACAAAGGCTAGTGTGATTGGGAGTATGGGCAGTGAGGGGGAGAGTGGTAGATAAAGACAGAGGGGTGGTTGGAAGTCAGCTCACATAGAGGCTTGTAGGCCGTAAAAAGAAGGGGGGAGGGGAGGCTGCCCGGCTGGCTCAGAGGAGCATGTGACTCTTGATCTCAGGGTGGTGGATTCAAGCCTCCGTGTTGGGTGTAGAGATTACTAAAAGAAATAAATAAACCTAAAAAAAAGGGGGGGGATTTTATTCTGAGTACAGTAGGGATCTATTGGGTTTTAAGCAGAGGAGTGGTGGGTAGGGTGGAGACTGGGTAGAGGTGAGGGGTGCAGAGGTGTACGAGTTGGGTCAGTGGAGGCTGTTCAGTTCTAGGCATTTTTTTGGTTAATGTTTATTTTATTTTTTTATTTTTGAGAGAGAGAGTGAGCGGGGGAGGTGCAGAGAGAGAGGGAAACAGGATCTGAAGCGGGCTCTGCGATGTCAGCACAGAGCCAGACACGGGGCTCGAACCCACGAGCTGCTAGATCATGACCTGAGCCGAAGTCAGATGCTCAACCCAGATGTCCCAAGGCTGTCCAGTTCTGTGTCAAACGGCAAAGGGGACCTTTCTGTGATTTGCATCTACATCCCTTCTTCTCTTTTGCCCCAGAAGGGGGTCCTTCTGTTTCAGGATGCGGAAGACTGGGGACAAAACCCATGCGTGCCTTAGTGGGGATTTTAATTCTTGGTTCATGTGTCTTCCTGTCCAGCCCCCTGCAGGTTCAAGCTCAGGCCTGCTAGCCCAGCGGTTAGGAAGTGGATGCACCATTTAATCAGTGAGCATTCACCCAACACCCACTGTGGACCAGGCCCTGGGCTGGGCACTGAGGAGAGAGAGAGGACAAGACTGGCCTCCTGCCCTGAGCAGCTCACAGTCTAGTGGGGGCAGACCTGTAAAGAGGCAGTCACTGTGCCACAGTGCTGAGGACTCGGGACTGGTGTGCGTGTCCTCCACGGAGGTTTGTGAAGCAGAGAAGGAGATTGGGGTTGGGGGGGGTTTGTTGAGGGCTGTGTGGGGGAGCCAGTGATTAAACTGCTTTTCGTGGTCTCTGTGCAAAGCAGTGCATGGGCCACTCTGGACACAGGAATGGTTTGTGCAGAGGAAGCGAACGTGTAATTACACACAGCGTGTGTGTCAGGCCAGGCAGCATTGAGTTAAGGGGTGACGAGGGCTGATGCGTCGTTTTGAAGGGGTCATCCTGGTGGGTCATTTCTGTGCATGTGACACCTTAAGGAGGAGGGCTTGAAATGGACATGGAGTTCCGCTGGATTCATCGTGAAGCTTGTCAAAAACAGATTCACACACTCTTCCATCCTGGTGCCTGGTGAAGATGACCGAGTGTGGTTGAGGCAGACTGGCTTGCTGTGGACACGCCGCGTTGGCCTCCTGGGCTTTTTGGGTAGAATCTTTAAAGCAGTTCTGTTTCCCCGGCTTATTTATTTTATTTTAGATTTTATTGAGTTCATCAGACTCAGTTCGTTACACATTTAACTGGTTCAGGCACGGCCTTTATCTCTTTTGTATTTATTTACGTATTCCCTTTTATCCCCTTTCCTCCCCACTCTCCCACCATAGGAAACCACCCTGCTGTGTTTGGTGTAAATCCTTTCATTTGCCTGTGTCCTTGGCTATCAAATAGATTTTAATTTACATAAATGGTATTCTGCCTAGAGTTCATTGTTTCTTTTTTCCCCTTCAGGACTGTGTTTTGGGATGTTATTGATGATCCTGTGAGTATCTCTGAGGTGGTTTCTCAATGCCACCCAGGTTTCCATAGATGCATCTCCCACATTTTACTTCCTCGACTTACGACTTCCCCCCCACCCTCACCCCCCGTGCCTCCTAGATTGTCTTCCACTTTTTCCCCACAATACACAGCTCTGGAGGTGAAAATCCTTGTACCAATCTCCTCCCTCAGCTTAAAAAAAATTTTTTTTTTAATGTTTTATTTATTTTTGAGAGAGAGACAGCATGAGCAGGGGAGGGTCAGAGAGAGAGGGAGACACAGAATCTTAAGACAGGCTCCAGGCTCTGAGCTAGCTGTCAGCACAGAGCCTGATGTGGGGCTTGAACCCACGAACTGTGAGATCATGACCTGAGCCGAAGTCAGACGCTTAACCGACTGAGCGACCCAGGCGCCCCATCTCTCAGCTTTTTAATATAATTCCAAGATGCTGACTAGGGCTTCCCTTAGATAATCCTGGCCTGTTGGTACCCGACAGGGCCAGACTTGTTTGACCTTGGTGAGGCCCTGACCTTTCTTGAGCTGTATTTATGTTTGGTAACTTGTGGTGATTCTAGCTGGTTCCCCAGCTCTTGGCACATTCTTTTGTGGTGCCATCTTTCCTAGTTGATCATCTCACAGGCTGTGTGGTTAATTCCCTGTTGCTTGTCGTCATTGATCGTTGCTGTGCGCTCATTCCAGCCGCAGATACTGGCTGCTTTCCTCTCCTGGTGAGACAGCGGCCTGTTGAAGTCAGTCCAGAGAGTAGTGAGACGCAAAGTGCTTCAGAGAAGGGCTCTGGAGCCAGACTGCTCGGCTTCACTTCCTAGGTCCTCCCTTTCTTAGCTTTGTGACCTTGGGCAAGTTCTTTAATCTTTCTGTGTCTCATTTCTGTCATCTGTAAAATGGGACTAATAACTGTACTTACTTCATGGTGTTTTGATGAGAAGTAAATCAGGGGCACCTGGGTGGCTCAGTTGGTTAAGTGTCTGACCCTTGATTTTGGCTCAGGTCACAGTCTCATGGTTGGTTGTGAGATTGAGCCCCGTGCTGGATTCTAGCTAACAGTGTGGGGCTCGCTTAGGATTCTCTCTCTCTGCCCCTGCCCGCCCAATAAGTAAATAAACATTTAAAAAAAACGCAACTAAATTAATGCACACAAAGTTGGCACATGATAAGACCCGATGAAATGTTAACTGTTAGTAGGAGTAATAATAATTATTATTATTTCAGACAAGAGTTCCTGGTATATTTTGCACATAATGGCTCACATTCAGTTATAGGGTATTTGTTCAGGGGGCACAGAGAGGGAGGCATGACTTCTGGACACCACGATTATGATTACAAATTCTAGTGCGATGGCATCAGCCATAAGGAGAGAGGGCAAAACCTCATCTCAAGGCCCTGGTCACCATTTCTCCATCGCTCATCCCTTGTCTGGGAAGGAGGGGGCTGCAGGCTGAGCCAAGGGTGGTGCTGGTGTGAATGGGGAGTATGAAACTCGGAGCACCCCAGTGGTCACCTCAGCCGTGGAATTCTTGTGATGTTACTCCGGACCTTTCTTTGAGAGAATGGACAGCTGGCTAGATTTGAATGTTTGTGCGAGCCCTCTCCTTGCAAATCCATTAGAATGATAGGGAGGGAACGCTGTCACCGACGTTTTGAGGAGTGTGCATGTGGTCAGTGTCAAAGACTGCTCTGGCATAGAGGGCAGCTGTGGCCCAGGGTGGAAAGGATTTAGGAAGGGTGCCTTGGTGGTGGGACAAGAAAGGTCCATTTTCTTTCAGTGGTATAATGAGGGAAGGGTGTATTATAACAAGAGATGTTCTAGTCCAATGGGGGAGGCAGGCCCTCAAATACCCAACTTACTCAAATATCTCAAATTACCCAGAGATCCAAACTGAAATCGAAGGGGGCCTCATTGGAGCTGAGGGGGCCAAGCAGCAGTAGGCTGGGATGGCTGCTGGAGGAGGCAATCTCTGAGCTGACTCGGAAAGGATGAGCCAGCTTCTCAAGCAGGGACGCGGTGAGGGCCGGCACACCCGGGAGGGGAAGCAGCAAGAGCCCGCCACGCAGCCGGGAGGGAACAGGAGTGCAGGCCGGCTGAACACAGGCTGCCTGTCTGTGGGTGAGCAGCAGGGACGACTGAGGCGGAGCCCGTCAGGCCCCCGTGGTGGCCAGTTGTTCCTTAGGCTGCGTTTTCAGTTATCAGGTGTTCAAGGACTGCCCTCGTGGCTTCTGTCACTGTGGTATGTGGAAAGCCATGTCCACTAGCCGAAGAGAAGGCACTTATAACGAACACGTAAAAATACATGAAATAGGAAAATAGGCAGCGTATGTATGTATTTCTAGTAGAGTGTATCGTCTGCTGAAGGCTCTGTGAGGCCTGCTCTTTCTTCTGATTAAAAAGAGATGCACAAGTATTACAGAATGAAAAGAGTTGAAAATAGTAATTTTGTCACCATGATTCAGAAAACCCATCCTCATTGCCTGCCTGGACCCTCCACGGGGCACCCTGGCTGGGTTGATGGGCGCTGTGGACACACATGCAAAGCTGGGAATTCCTGAGCATCAGTAAATGACATGGGTGTGGTGAGGGGGGATATGGGAGCACCCCCACAGTGCCCCCCCAGCCCAGGTGGGGCCTGACGCAGTGGACCCCTCCCACCCACAGGCAGAGGCCACCATGGAGCAGTGTGCGAGCGTGGAGAGAGAGGTGGACAAGGTCCTGCAGAAGTTCCTGACCTACGGGCAGCACTGCGAGCAGAGCCTGGAGGAGCTGCTGCACTACGTGGGCCAGCTGCGGGCTGAGCTGGCCAGTGCAGGTGGGTGCCCTGCCCCCCAGCCCAGAGTCCCACATCTGTCTACCAGGGAACCTTGGAGACCCCCAGGGCTGCTTGGTGACAGGCTGCTAGAAGGAGAACGGTTTGTGGATGTCAGTACATGGAGCCCTAGGCCTCCCTGAAGGAGTGGTTTCAAAAGTCCCAACAGAAGTTACTAATTTAGGGGGCAGCGGGGTGGCTCAGTCAGTCAAGTGTCCGGAGTCTTGATTTTGGCTCAGGTGATGATCTCAGGGTCATGCGATCATGCTGTGTGTTGGGCTCTGGGCTGGGTGTGGAGCTTGCTTGATTCTCTCTCTCACGCTCTACTTGCTCTCTTCTTTGAAAAAAAAAAAAAAGACATTTTGGGGAAGTTTCTTTTTTTTTTAAATTTTTAATGTTTTATTTATTTCTGAGAGAGAGAGAGAGAGAGCGCGCATGAGCAGGGGAGGGTCAGAGAGAAAGGGAGACACAGAATCAGAAGCAGGCTCCAGACTCTGAGCTGTCAGCACAGAGCTCGACGCGGGGCTCGAACCCACAAACCGTGAGATCATGACCTGAGCCGAAGTCGGACGCTTAACCAACTGAGCCACCCAGGTGCCTCAGGAAGTTTCAAATTTACAGAAGAGTTCCAAGAATAGTATAGAGAACTCATATGTGCCCTTCATCCAAATTCACCAACTGGGGATATGTTGCCAGATTTGTTTTATCACTTCTTTTGCCTACTCTTACTTTTTAATCATTTGAAAATAAGTTGCAGGGGCACCTGTGTTGCTCAGTTGGTTAAGCGGCTGACTTCGGCTCAGGTCATGATCTCGTGGTTTGTGGGTTCGAGCCCCGCATCAGGCTGTGTGCTGACAGCTCAGAGACTGGAGGCTGATCGGATTCTTGTTTCCCTCTCTCTGACCCTCCCCCACTCCTGCTCTGTCTCTCTCTCTTTCTCAAAATTAAATAAATATTAAAAAAGAAAGAAAAGAAAGTTGCAGATATCGAACCACTTGACCCCTAAACTTTTGGTGTGTATTTCCTACAGTCAAGGGCATTCTTTTACATAAATACAGTGTCATTATTAAAATCAGTAAATTAAACATTAATACAATATTATGATCTAATGAATATAGCTCATACTTTGATTTTATCATTGTCTAATAATTTTCATAAAACATTTTAATTTTATTCTCCATTCCAGGATCCAATCCAAGATCAAGCACTGCATTGTTCATCATGTCTAATCTCTGGCTTTTGATTTATTTTTTTAAATGTTTTTTATTTATTTTTGAAAGAGAGAGAGAGAGAGACAAAGGACAAGTGAGGGAGGGGCAGAGAGAGAGGGAGACACAGAATCCGAAGCAGGCTTCAGTCCCTGAGCTGTCAGCACAGAGCCCGGCATGAAATCCGTGACCTGAGCCGAAGTTAGACACTTACCTGACTGAGCCACGCAGGCGCCCCATAATCTTGTTTTTTTTTTTAAACCTGGGACATTTCTTTCACTTGGCCTTTGTCTTTCATGCCATTTGACATTTTTGAAGAATTAAAGTGCCTTGGTGGTTCAGTCAGTTAAGTTTTCTGTCCAACTTCGGCTCAGGTCATGATCTCGTGGTTCCTGGGTTCAAGCCCCGCAACTGTATTCATTGGCATTCAGCTTTCCTTTTTTCTTTTTTTCTTTCTTACTCTGGTTTTGCCCTGAATTTCCCTGCTGACTAGTGATGCTGAGTATCTTTTCATGTGCTTCTTGACTATTTATCTTCATCAGAGAAATGTCTACTTAATTGTTTCCCTTTTTTTAATTGGTTCTCTTTTTGTTGCATTGTAGAAGTTCTTTATATACCCTTAATAGTAGACCCTTCATGGAAATTCTTTTTTTATTTTTTAAGTTTACTTATTTATTTTGAGAAGTAGGGGGAGAAAGGCAGAGAGAAAGGGAGAAAGAGAATCCCAAGCAGGCTCTACACACTGTCAGTGCAGAGCTGGATGCATGGCTCAATCTGATGAACCGTGAAATCATGACTTGAGCCTAAATCGAGAGTCTAAAGCCTAACTAACTGAGCCACCCAGGCGCCTGTCATGTGTTTTCACTCTTTTGATAGTATCCTTTGAAGTATAAAATTTTTAATATTGATGAGGTCCTGGTTATTTGGGGGGGTGGGGGGGCTGCACAATAAGATAGTTCCTGGAATCAGTAATTTCTTTCTGCAAGGAGACTGGTTCTTTTGGTGGAAAATGGTAGTTGGAAAGCAAGATCTGGGTTGTTACTGAGGTGTCCTTGTTTCTGTGTGTGTTTTTTTTGTTTGTTTTTTTTTTTGGCACCTCTATCTGTATGTTGCAGGCCATGGGTTTGTGCTGATAACCTATAATTTCAATCCAGTATTCAGAGTTCTTCTAGACTTCCCGCGTCCATAGCCAAATCTCTTTTCTGCATCCATGAGAAGACTCCCAACAACATCAGTAAATTTCTCATCTGCTTGATGTCTGTGATACGTAGAAAGTATTTTCAGGGGCGCCTGGGTGGCTTAGTCGGTTAAGCGTCCGACTTTCCGACTTTCGCTTAGGTCATGATCTCGCGGTTTGTGGGTTCGACCCCCGCGTCGGGCTCTGTGCTGACTGCCAGCTCAGAGCCTGGAGCCTGTTTCAGTCTGTGACTCCCTCTCTCTCTGACCCTCCCCTGCTCACGCTGATTCTCTCTTCTAGAAATAAATAAAAACATTTAAAAAAAAAAAAAAAAAAGAAAGTATTTTCAGAATTGCTGCACTGGTACCACTGAGAAAAACAAATCTACAGAATCAAGTGTTTCCTTTTTATTTTTTTAAAGAAAGTATGCACATGGAAAACTTATAAGATCAAAAAAGCATACAGTGCAAAGTGAGTCTCCTTTTCACCCTTGATTCCCAGTTTCTGTGTGCTTCTCCCCCCAAGTCAAGTCCTGTCCCCTGTTTCTTGGATGCCCTTCCAGATAGCATCTGGGTGCACATAGAAGTGGCATGTGTGTCTGTCTCCTCCCCCCCCTTTTTTAAATACGAAAAGGGTAGCATAAAGTGCATGCTTTCCTGTACCTCGCTTTTCTGTATCAGCACAGAGAATTCTGCCTCATCCTTGCACCTGGTGGCTTACCGTTCCATCATATGGCTGTGCCGTGCTATAATAAGTGCCCTCGACCTTGATGGCATGTTAACTGTGTATGGTAGGATGTTCCCTTTTGAGAGTCTGAAGCTCTTGTATGCTGTGGTCTTGGTTCCCGGATGGTGATGGCTGCTGCAGCCTCTTTACAGGGACACTGGGTTTTCTCAGATGGGGATTTGTCAGGGCTCGTGGTTGTCCGTGGGACCTTGGGCAGAGAAGATTTGGGGATTTCAGGTTAAAAAGCTTTGGCTTTGGGACACCTTGCTGGCTCAGTCGGTGGAGCGTGCGACTCTCTATCTTCGGATCATGAGTTCAAGCCCCACGTTGGGCCTAGAGCTTACTTTAAAAAAAACAAAAGGGGTTTGGTTTCCTGAGAGCTGTTGCTTTGTCCTACTAAAGGTGTGGCCAGGGAATATGCAGAGTGTGGTCCTCTGTCACCTGAATGGAGCAGAATGTGAGAGGTGAGGGGCAAGGTGGGGTTGGGGCAGTTGGCACTGATGTCAGAGTGGAATGCAGTCCTGCTCCATCTCGCCCAGCCATTGCCTCCTGTCTGTATTTATCAGGATACATTCAGTTATAAGTGACAAACCCAGGGGTGCTGGGTGGTTCCGTGGGCTAAGTGTCCCACTCTTGATTTTGGCTCAGGTCATGATCTCACTGTTCATGAGTTTGAGCCCCACATCACGCAGTGCAGAACTTGCTTGGGATTCTATCCCCTCTCTCTCTGTCCCTCCCCTGCTCCCTCTCTCTCCCTCCCTCTCTCTCTCAAAAACAAACAAAAACCAAAAACAAGTGACAGAAACCCAGCTTAGACCAGGGTAAACAAACATGAGGGGGTGGGGAGATGATTCGTGGACTCAGGTAATTGAGATGTCCAGGCCCGGCGCGCCCAGATGCCCATGTGACCCTCTCAGTGCATGCTGGCTTCATACACATCTCGCCTGCGGTGGTCGCGGTGCTCCAGAAGCTCCAGTTCCCATTGGGTCGTTCAGCACTTTAGCAGGTTGCATCTGTCTTCCAGGGCTTCTGGTCTTAGAGCTGAGACACTCCTTGGCCCTCCTGGGTCATGTTTCTTTCCCTGAACTAAGGTGTTGCAGTCTAAAGAAGGCTCACTGATGCTGGGCTGGAGGAGGGGCCTGAAAACCATTGCAGACCTGGGGTCCTGAGCCAGAAATAGCCCTGTGCCTCCCAGGCGGTATCCTGTCCTCTGGGTTGATAAGAGGCATGAACACAGGGCAGTGCCTTGTGGTTCGAAGCCTTCTCACACGTGCTGTCTCACTCACCACCATAAAGAGCCATCCGGTGTGGTGGTGAGGAGCATGGGCTTTCCAGCTGTCACTGCTGTCACCTGGCAAGTTCCTGCCTCAGCTTCCTCAGCTACAGGACGGGATACTCAGCCCACTGCAGAGACCGGTGGTGAGGATTAAATGAGCTAAAATAAAGTGCTTACCCACAGGCAGTGCTGCCTTTCACAGCAGTGTACAGGGCCAGTACAGTCACCCATTTTACAGCTGAGGAAATGAACCGGGAGATGACCTCACTTGGCCCACTCGATCAGCTCCAAGGCATGTAATTAAAGTGGCAGGACCTGGGGCAGAAGCTGGGGTCTTTCCTTGTGAGTTCAGGGCTGCCTCCCGGGCCTCTAGGCCGGTGTTTAGAGGACACAGGGACATGGCGGGCTCCTCTGTGTCCTGCCTCACTGCCGGTGTTTCCATGCAGCCCTCCAAGGGACCCCCCTCTCCGCCACCCTCTCCCTGGTGATGTCCCAGTGCTGCCGGAAGATCAAAGACACCGTGCAGAAACTGGCTTCGGACCACAAGGACATTCACAGCAGTGTCTCCCGAGTGGGCAAAGCCATTGACAGGGTGAGCATGTGGGCAGCCACAAGCTGGGGGCCGGGATACCCCGGAGCTAGTGTGTCGGGCTCAGTGGGAAAGCGAGCGTGAGAAGCACAGAGGCTGAGTCACAGGGCCCTGTCTGTCGTCCTCATCAGAACTTCGACTCTGAGATTTGTGGTGTCGTCTCCGACGCGGTGTGGGACTCGCGGGAGAAGCAGCAGCAGATCCTGCAGATGGCCATCGTGGAGCACCTATACCAGCAGGGCATGCTCAGTGTTGCCGAGGAGCTGTGCCAGGTAACGGCCTGGGCGAAGGCTCTGGAACCTGCCTGTTCTGCTCCTGCTTGATAGCTGTCTTTGTATCAGGTTCCTGTTATTCTTTACATAAACTCCTTTTAGAAAGGAAATCATTTCCCCTGCCCTAAATGGAAGGTAGCTCTAAAATATAGATGATGGGGAGTGAAGTCCTGAACTTCTAGCTAGAGTTGGTTGCCAGCCAGGGTTCTGAGGTGAGGTCTGATAGCCCTTTCCTAAATAGGAAACAACAAGTAACACTTGTTAGGTGTTAAAAACACACAAGCAGTAAAGGTAAAGGCTACTTTCTCTAATGGAATTAAGAGGACTGAAGAGGAGTCCCGCTCTCACCATGCTGCTCTGCACAGGTCTCAGAGTCCCTGGGGCCGGGGTGGGCCAGGGTCAGCCAGGGTCTGTGCTCTTGAAGGCCAGCATGTGACACTTGGCTTCACAGAACTGAAGTGTTCTGGACATGCTGTCCTCCAGCAGTGGGACTGCGCTTTCCCCCCACAGGAATCCACGCTGAACGTGGACCTGGACTTCAAGCAGCCTTTCCTGGAGCTGAATCGAATCCTGGAAGCTCTGCACGAACAAGACCTAGGGCCGGCGTTGGAGTGAGTAGGCCCCCGGGTGGGCCAGAGGGGCACAGGGCATGTCTGCCGTCTCCTCTATCACCCGGTGTGCTTGACGTGTCTCCGGCCCTGTGGTGTGGGCCTCACCTAGGCTTTTGGAGCCCACCTCCGTCCTGGCTCTCTGCTGACCCCTTCTCGTGCCCCACCAGCTCCCTTTCTTCCCAGGTGGGCTGTCTCCCACAGGCAGCGCCTGCTCGAGCTCAACAGCTCCCTGGAGTTCAAGCTGCACCGACTGCACTTCATCCGGCTCCTGGCGGGCGGCCCCGAGAAGCAGCTGGAGGCCCTCAACTACGCCCGGCACTTTCAGCCATTTGCACGGCTGCACCAGCGAGGTGCGCGCCAGGTGCTGGGGTGGGTGCTGCCGGGCCCTGGCCCGCCTGAGGGGCTGCATGTGGCCAGGATACCGGTCCCCAGCCCGAGAACTCTGACCCCTCCCTCGCTGTCTCCAAGGTGAACTCCAAACTCAAGACTCTTGCTCTGCATCTGCCTCTGCCACTGTCGCAGACCACTTTGGTCCCTGCCACCTGCTGTGTGCCACACCCACTCAGCAGGGCGGGCCTGTGTGCCCTCATGCTGTCAGGCCTCAGTACAGGCCTCCCACCTAGAAGAACCCCACTCCTTCTGGGCGCCCCCTCCGCAGCTTTCTTCCCAAACCTTCTGTCACCTGGGGTTTCCACGCCTTAGTCATCTGAGCCTCACCTTCTAGATGTTCCCTGCCAGTAACCACCCCTACCGTTGGTCCCTTTTTTTTCTTTAGCTCTGTTCCTACTTATCACTTCACATTTTATTTGTGAAATCATGAAAACCAAGCACTGTTAGTGAACCTAGATACCACCTGGAAGTGTTTTAAAAGGTAGACCAGCCAGTGTTGGGAGAAGAAAAATGCTGGTCCTGCAGTTGGAAGGATGGGCAGCGAACTCACGCTCACTTTCCAGACTTCCTTGAGTGGATGCCTGTCTTTGTCCCACAGGAGCAGGCCCTAGACTCGGCCTCCACATGAGACTTTAGGGAAAACCCCGTTTTGCCCAAGGGCATCTCAGCGCTACCTGCCCCCCCCTCAAATTCGTCAGGGCCTTGGGTGCTGCGGGGCTCTGCCTGCTCTCCAGCCTGCGCGCCCTGACCTGTGCCCTGCCTGCCTCTTAGAGATCCAGGTGATGATGGGCAGTCTGGTGTACCTGCGGCTGGGCTTGGAGAAGTCGCCCTACTGCCACCTCCTGGACAACAGCCACTGGGCAGAGATCTGTGAGACCTTCACCCGGGACGCCTGCTCCCTGCTGGGGCTCTCGGTGGAGTCACCTCTCAGCGTCAGGTACGGGCAGCCCCATGGGGGCAGTGCCAGTGGGAGGGCCTCTAGGGAAACAGTTTGCTGAAGCCGTTCATGTGCTGGGGATGGTGCTTGGTTCTCTGAAACCTAAACTGGCTCTCAGTCATTCCTCCAGGTAGGAGTTACCTGTTTTTATAGGTGGAGAAGCTGAGATCAGGAAGTTGTGGCCCGATGTCACTGCAAGGTCAGGGGCAGGGTCAATGTTCCCCTTCTCTAAGGTCTTTGGAACGAGCGGTCTTGCCCGCACCTCACCCCTGAATTATCACGAGACCCTTTGTAACCTGTCCTCTCAACCTCATGTTTCAAACCACGTCCCTTTGGGGAGGCTTGAAAGTGGCTGAGTAACATGTATTGAGTCTTTTCCCTCAGAAGGCACCCTTACAGTACCGTGGGTTACTGTAATGTGGAGGGCGTCACGGGCGTCTTATTTAGACAGATCATGGAATCTCCTGCCCCGCCCCACGCAGGGTGAAGGGTTCAGGTTTGAAAACAGTGCTTCCTGGCAGGAACACCAGTGGCGCTTCAGGATGGTTCTGGAGTGCCGGCTTTCCCTGAGCATCATAGGTATTTAGCACCTGAGGCACCAGCCAGTCGACTCCCCGCCCCTGCCTGAGTCATTGTGAGATCTGAATCCTCTCCCATTTCCAAGGGATGATAACCACGTAGACAACCAGTCAGGTGCATCATGGCAGCAGAGTGGGGGAAACAGGCATGCGGGGGCCCCTGCAAACTGATTGCCGGCCCCAGTGCGGCAACGACATTCCAGTGGTTGGATGAGCAGGGATCTCCCCCTGGATCTTCCTTTTGTCTCCCCCTAGGTTTGCACACTCTGGGGTGCGTTAGAATGACCCTAGAGTTGGACATACCTAACTACATACGTGGCACTTTATGAGCGACTGGCGAGGTTTTCAAGGACCAGTCTGACCACGTACCACTTTAGAACCCTGTCCCAGGACACACACCACCACCAATAGTGTGCTGGTGCCTTTGTCCACTGGTCCTTGGTCTGGGCCACTGCAGACCCTGCTCTTTGTTCCACAGCTTTGCCTCTGGCTGTGTGGCGCTGCCGGTGCTGATGAACATCAAGGCTGTGATCGAGCAGCGGCAGTGCACGGGGGTCTGGAGTCACAAGGATGAGTTACCGGTGAGAACTAGTGGGGGGAGGCATTGGCCAGTGGCACCGGGAAGGGGAACCGCGGCCAGGAGTGGGACTCACCCCTCCATCGTGCCCCCACCCCCAGATCGAGATCGAACTGGGCATGAAGTGCTGGTACCACTCAGTGTTCGCCTGCCCCATCCTACGGCAGCAGACTTCAGATTCCAACCCCCCCATCAAGCTCATCTGCGGCCACGTGATCTCCCGAGACGCGCTCAACAAGCTCATTAATGGTGGAAAGTAAGTTCCCCGGGCTCTGCGCCGCCCTGCTTGACTCTCCTGCTGGCCAGCCCCCAGACAGTCTTTGTGCTCCTCCCTTTGCAGGCTCAAGTGTCCCTACTGTCCCATGGAGCAAAACCCCGCTGACGGGAAACGCATCATATTCTGATACCCACCTGGGAGGAACTTTGTCAAAGGGGCTTTTCACCCTCGAGCCTCGGTCTGGTCTCGGCAGGGGTGGCTGGTGTCGGTGGATTGTGGTTCACTTCGCGCAAATGGCCAAGCGCTGCCATGGGCAGAGACCAAGAAGGAAGATGGACCAGTCTGTGCCAGGCAGCTGGCTCCCTGATGGGAGGGTCCGGAGACACTGGCCTTGGCACTCCCGCGGTTTCCCTGTCTATATCTGCCATGGACTTAGTAGCAGCCAACAGAGAGGCAAAGGACGTGGCCAGCAACACGGGCATCTTCCTGGTCCTGCCCTCAGCTGGGTCACTCGTGGCTACGTCCATGCGGTATCCACCCTTCTGGTTGTATAGCCTCATGACTGTATGTATCCATTTCCCACTGTAAATAGTCCGGGTTTGAACTGAATGCCGTGGTTTTATAACTGAGCAAATATATTCACAGGCCTTCTCCTTACTTCACCAACAAGGAATCACTGCATGCGCACTGCGCCAGAGAGAACCCACCCTCCCTCCCTGCCTGGGTCAAAGCCCGTGATGTCTGACCCCAGGCAAGAGGCCTTCACACAAACACGTATGAAGTCTTTCTCTCCTTACTAGGAAGCAGTGCGAGGGGAGTCAGGAAGACATATGGACCTGCCTTGCAGAGCTCACAACTTGTAAAGGAGACAGCTCGGGATTTAAACCGGACCTGACCCTCAATCCCAAGTTCTCTTCACTTTACCCCGGGGTGCCTGGAGCTTGGTTGCCTTATGTGCCAACGGAGCCCTGTGCTGGGCCTCAGAGGGCAAGAAGGCACCCTGAGTCTGAAATGTTTGAAGGGACTGGGTTACCAGGGTCATTATGCCAAGCAGGAGCAGTGGCCCGGGATTGGGTCTCTAGCCTTGTACACCTCTTTTCACATGTGCTGTGTATGCGGGCAAATGGTTTCCATGTTTCCCAGTGGCGTTTGAGCCTCGCAGGAGCAAGGAAAGGAAGAAAGAGGAGCGGGGGTGTGGCCAGTGCAGGGGCTGCAGGCTTCTGGGCATGGGGTCAGCTGCGGTAGCCTCATCCTGAGGCCTTGCCTGCTGTGGCAGTCGGAGGGCCCGTACTCTGCCTGGGTCTGGCAGCAGCCCAGAACACCCGTGAGTCCTTCGGGTTGTCTGTGGGGAACAGCTGCTTCCACCCCCTCCTAGGCCCCACCGGCACCTGCTGCTGGAAAAAACACCCACAGACTCACCACATTTTAGTCCTAGCGTTTACTTCCCCCACACTACACCCTTGGCGCCATCTTCACTGATGCTCGTGGAACACGCCGGCTTGGCCTTCACAAAACAGTGGGCGGAGCTGCCCAAGAAGAAGACAGGCCGCAGGGGACCAGGGCGATGCGTGGGCACGGCCAACGTGGGGTAGCCAGCTGGCCCACTGCCAGCCCAACTGCTTCCGGAGCAGGTGCCCAGTCCTTCACATGGGTGGGGGCAGGGCCTGCACCTCCTCCAGGCACTCGTCATAAGCCTCCTGGTACTCCTCGTGGGGCTTAACCATGATCACACAGGTGGGGCGCTTGGAGCCTGCAGCCGCCCCCAGGTCCTGTGGAGCAGGGGGAAGAAGCACTGTAGGGGAGGACAGGCTGCAAGACCCCTGCCCCGCTGGCCCCATCTGGCCGCGGACGAGTGCCGTGCGGTCCACGTGACAACTTCACTTCAACTCTGCCGACCTTCGAGCCAGGTCCAGCAACGCTGGGCCTATGTCGCTACACAGCAAGCACAAATGGCCTTCCGGCCGGCAGAGGCTGTCTCCTTAAGCCAGACCTGTGTTTCTCCTGGTCCCTGTGTAAGGACAGGGCCAGCCACACAGGCCTCTTCCTCCCCAAATGGGACTAACACAAGCACCGCATCTTAGTTGACAGAGCGCACCCACGCTCACATCTCCTGTCTCATTCCCATGATCCACAAGGGCAAGGATTCGCAGCTCACAAGAAGTGAATGCAAAGTGCTGATGTGCGGTCCCTCAACCAGGAGCCAGCAGAGCTAAGGATCCGTTCAGGTCTGTCTCCAAAGTCTGTGTTCCTTCCCACTGGGGCCTGTTCCCATAGACCATTCTCAGACCCCTGCTCTGATGCTGACCAAGATGGGGTGGGGGTGGGGGGGGTGTCGTGTGCTCCTTACCGTCTTGGAGGGAATATAGACGTAGGGCAAATTCCGATCCTCGCACATAACCGGGAGATGGCAGTATACCTCAATGGGCAACGTGTCTCCTGCCAAAACCATGATCCTGAAATGGGAGAAACCCTCATTTCTAACTTGCTCATTCCCTCTTTCAGTTGAAAGTGCCTTTGGACAGAGACCAACAAGATGGCCCTTGCTCTCAAGGACCCCAGTTATGAATGTGAATCTCCCACCTTCTGAAAGCACATGCAAATTTGGTGATCACCTTCCTCTGGGGAGGTGATCCCTAATTCTCAGCAAGTTAAGTAATGCCATGAAGTGTGACAAGTGCCACTGGGACAGGTGAAGTACGGTAGTGGCCCCAAAGAGTAAGAGCTCAGCTCTCCTTGTAGAGTCAAAACAGGAAGGGCACCTGGGTGGCTCAGTTGGTTAAGCATCCGACTTCGGCTCAGGTCATGATCTCATGCTTCGTGAGTTCGAGCCCCATGTTGGGCTCTGTGCTGACAGCTCAGAGCCTGGAGCCTGCTTCAGATTCTGTGTCTCCCTCCGTCTCTGACCCTCCCCTGCTCACACTCTCTCTCTCTCAGGGAAAAAAAAAAAAAAAATTGAAAAAAAAGGAATCAGGATGGGGGGGGGGCCTGGGTGGCTGACTCAGTTGGTTAAGCATCTGACTCTTTGATTTCAGCCCAGATCATGATCTCATGGTTTTTGAGTTTGAGCCCTGTGTCGGGCTCTACACTGGTACAGAGCCTGCTTGGGATTCTCTCTCCGTCTCTGCCTCTGCCCTATCCACGTTCTCTCTCAAACGGCTATATAAACTGGCACCATCAGAAAGCTGGCACCATCTCAGGGGTCATGCAGCCCATGGAGGGTGTGGGTGCAGGGAATGCATTGAAGACTGAGTGAATCAGAATGGCACCACATACTCAGGAGCTGGCTGATGGAGGCCTGGGATGGCTGTGGAATCCAGGAGGGGCAGACAAGAAAGCTAGAGAGATTAGTAGGGGCCATACCCAAAGGCCTTCAGTGCCAACCTGACAAGCATGAGCTCAGTGCCCAGTGACCGGAACTAATGAAGGGTTGCCAGAGAACCATCAGGCAGGACTTCTCGCTAACAAGACATCAGAGCTCTGGGGCAAGGGCCTCAGGAGCCCTGAAGACGCCAAAGGAGGAGCATTTCTCCAGGGAATGAGAGGCAAGCAGAAGGGAAGAGCTCTTGGTTCAAAGTACTGGGCCCACCCTAGTTTCCTTTGGTCTTCTAGGCTCTCCTCTGCAGGCACCTCTTCCTTTGAGTGGCCTTTAAGTGCTGGGGCTCCTCACAGCCTGGTCCTTGGCTGCCCTCCAGTACCTTCTCCCTGGCTGACCCTAGGTACAGTCATGGTGTCAGGTCCCATCCATGTGCGGACAACTCCCAAATCTATTCTCTCCTGCCTGGCCTCTCCATTACAAGCTCCAAATCTATAAAGCCACTTGCCTTTTTGACAGTTCTGCTGGGGGTGGGGGGTAGGGGGAGGCAGGTCAGGTGTTTAAGACAAAATTCATGATCTTCCCACGAGAACCTGGCCCTCTCCATCCACTACCTCAGTGAGTGGGTCCTTTCTTCAGTGGAAGCCATACCTTCTCTCTCCATGTCGGAAAGTCCTCTCAGATCCATCCACTTTAAATTCTATTTGTCACCTCTAACGTCATCAAAATCACCCCCACCTCCTCTAGACTACAGTAGTCTCCTATGTCAATTTCCTTGTCTACTCTTGCCCCTCTGATCCTTTCCGGAGTTGCCAGAAAAATCTTAAGAGTAAACATAATTCTGTCACTCCCTGGCTTTTAACCCTCAGTGGCCTGCAAAGCTGAGTACGAAAACGAAACCTACCACAGCTTACAAAGCCCCATGAGAAGGTAACACTTGGTGTCCACCATCCTCTCCCCTGCTTTGGGACCCAGGATCTTCCAGCAACACCCTAGCCCTCTAGGTCAGACTTCCCACTGGGCATCAAACAGCCGTGGCACTGTTTATCTCTTGAGCACCAACAATGTACCAGATACTAACAGGGATAGAGCAGTGAGAGGCTTTATCCTGTTCTCAAAGAGCTTACTGGCTGGCCTGATTGGGAGATCCTGGGAATAAGTTTCAGATTCTGATAGATGTCAGAAAATAAGTCTCCCTGCACCCTGTACATTTCTTCAGTTATCTCAGAACTTTTAATTTTGTGTGTATTTGATTAAGGACACTGTCTCCCCATAGTACAGTGCCTGACAACAGTCTATGAGTGAATGAAGGTAGGGTCTACCCTAAGCTTATTCCATTCACTTCCCCAGTGGTGTTCCTTTGCGCTCTTGTGATGTACCCACTAGCTGTATTGAAGGGAAATCACGGACTGTTTGATAATTTTCCGTATATGAGGCTGAACCCGATCACATTTTTTTTTAAATGTTCGTTTAGAGAGAGAAAATCCCAAGCAGGCTCTACGCTGTAGGCCGAGGGCGGGATGTGAGGCTCAATCTCACCAACCGTGAGATCCCAACCTGAGCCCAAGTCAAGAGTCGGATTCTCTACCGACTGAGCCACCCAGCGGCCCCCATCGCTTTTACACGACTTTTGTCAAGTACCTACTAAGTAGCAGATACCTGTTTCAGTTCCCAAATGCAAACCCAGAGGGGAGCGGGGGGAATCTTACCCTTTCTCGCCTTTGTTGATAAATTTTTGAACCTCTTTCACCCCCCGCCGAATCTGCTTCTGCTTCACGGCTGCAACGACAGAAGAGTCAGTATGGGGGCCTCGGCCCGCCACCCGCGCCACCCGCGGCCATCGCGGCGGCCGCAGCACCTTTCTTGATGCATTTGTAGAGCTTCCGCGTGAGACGGCGAGAAGCCAAGGGCTGAGCGATGGGGTTCAAATTCACTAGCAGCTCATGGTAAGTGCGCTCCCCGAGGCAAGCCTCCGCCTGAGCCTCCGGCCCGTCCGGATCTGCCTTTATTTTGGTCATCGCAGTGGCAGCAGCAGGAAAGCCCGCAACAGGCGGATCCACGCGGCCCGAGCCTCAGGAATCACTTCCGGGTCAGCCTGCTCTGCGGAGGCCAGTCGTAGACCACAGCCAATCGGGAAACGAAGTCTCTGACTCGCCGGGGCGCTGACGCTCAGATCTTTAAATACCTGCTAAACGGGCCGGAGTCTCGGCTGGGTGGGCGGGTAGGGGCGTGTCCCAAGGGAGGCGGGGCCTGGTGAGGGCGGGAAGCGACTAGGACACAGGCTCCGGCGGGCCTGAGAACCCCGCCTCACCGGTACTGGGAGCGGAAGAGGAGGCAGTACCTGTGGGGGGCGTAACCACGTCTAAGGACGGGACCCTTGCTCGAGGGGCGGGGCTGCGGCCGAGCGGAAGAATTCCAAACCGCCCGAGAATTTGGTCCTCCCGTGGTCCTGGGCTAGGTGCGGCGGCTTCCAAGGTTGAGGTAAAGTCTCACCCTGCTAAGGGCCTCTTCCATTGTCGCACAATTTCTCGCACTCTTTCTCTGTGGCCCCACTCACTGAGCGCCTCTCTTCCCTCAGGGATCTGCTCGGTGTTACCCACGCGAGAGGTTCTCCTGCCATCTCATCTAAAACTGCGGTCCCCACCCACCTCCCACCGGCGCCCCCGGCCCCTTGTTTCCCTAGTTCCCGCCGCTGCCAGGCGTGGCGCCTAACCCCCCGGCCTCGCGGAGATCCCAGCAGGGGAGAGGGAGAGGAGAGGTGAGCGTCCCCACGAACCCTGGGGCTGAGACTTCGCGACGCGATCGCGGAGGGCTCCGAATGGGCGCCCGCTCTACAGGTGTCGGTAGAGCTTTAGTCGACCGTGACGCTGCGGCGGCGAGCTGGCCCGGAATGGGGTGGATCTTGTATCTCCGACGAATTTCTTCCTCCGTGTCCCGGAACACTGGATGGATAGGAGTTAGATCACTGCTACAAATTAATTGCCTTTGATACTGCGATGGTAGGCTTGACATTTTGTGGTGGCGGAATAGGCCAGTAAGTGGAACTTTAAAAAAATTTTTTTTAAGTTTATTTAATTTGCGGGGACGGGGTAATCCCTACGTCCAAAATGGGGTTCGACCCTGAGATAAGGAGTCCCCTGTTCTTCCGACTCAGCCAGCCAGGCGCCCTAGTAAGTGGAACTTTTGCAGGTGGGGAAAAAAAAATACAGGTGGCCTTTGGAGCGCAGGTTAGTTAAGCCAGTTTAAAATTTGAACTTTTAATCCTGTAACTAAGTGCAAAGTCATTCAATAAAAAAATAAGGCAGTTTTCTACATTTAGATTTTTTAAGTTTTCTTTTATTATTTTTTGTTAATGCATATTTATTTTTGAGAGAGAGAGAGCAAGCTAGGAAGGGTTATAAAGAGAGGGGAACAGAGGATCTGGAGGAGGTTCTGAGCTGTCAGCACGGAGCCGAATATGGGGCCGGAACCCACAAACCACAAGATTATGACCTGAGCCAACCTCAGTGGCTTAGGTGACTGAGCCACCTAGGTGCCTCTACATTCAGCATTTAGCATTTTGATAAGAAGAATTAGGATGCAATCCATCCTACCCCCAGACCCCAAATAGTTCTCACAAATAGAAACCTCTATCAACTGAACAATGAAAATGCATTATATAAGCAATAAAACAAATAACATGAAAGTCTAAAAATTTGCAGGCACGACATAGCAAGAAAATGTTTTCATTTTGGAATTTCTCGAGAAAAGATAGCCCCTTCCAGAGCTTTGAGACTGGTAGTTACTCTCCTGCCTAGGACTTTGCTGTACCATTTACCCCCCCTTCAAGCCCCTACACTCCCTACACCCCCTACCCCCCAGATCCTAGAGTAGCAGTTTTGGCATTCTCAAGAAAGTACCTCCTAACATGTGAGAGCAGCCTGTGGGCTTCCCTGAATACATGGCTGGCAGGGCTCTGAAGGGTGCTTTTCTTTTCTCTTTCTTTTAATCTTTAAATTTTTAAAAGTATTTACTTATGAAAGAAAGAGCAGAGTACACACGTAGGGAAGGGGCAGAGAGAGAAGGAAGGGGACAGAGGTTCTGTAAGGACACAAGTCTAAACCACACTGACTCCATGACAGGCTTTACGTTTCCTTTTAAACTAGAAGGCCTAAGTTTCAGTCTCCCTGAAACTATCAGGCAGTTACACATTGCCCAAGACCAAAGAAACCGCCCACCACATCACTCCACCACACCACCCTTGCAACACTCAGTCAAGAAAGTGTCGGCTGGTAAGTGCACTCGTTTCCTTGTTCTTCTATGTCTAAGTCTTTTTGTATGACTGTTGTTTGTCTGGTCTGTTCGGTGCTTGGTCTCTAAGGGCCTCAAAGGAGCCAGGGGGACGCGCTGCGAAAGCTCGAGGCCATAGGATCCAAGAGACGTCTTGGACCCACAGGAAGGAGAAACTGCGGGTCGGATCCCGCTGCACAAAGAGTGGAATTCGGGCAGAGGTCCCCCGTGGACAGGGGTTTCTGCGGCAGTGAAGCTGGAATTCAGTAGATCCTGTTGGTGGCAGCAGTAGAATCTCATTTGTCTTCTCGGTCGTACTTTCGTTTTCTTCTCAATCATTTGTGTCCGGTCTGTTCGTGTACGTGCAGTTCCCGTTGTGTCCTTGACTGAGGAGGATGCTTAAGGAAAGTCTTTTTTCTCCCTTCTTTTCCCTTTATCTTTCTATGGGACTTTGGGGTCGCCACCCCACATATTTTTCTTTTTCTCTGGAAAGCACGGAAAGACCATCATCTCACTTTCATTCTCTCCTCCACTGGCCAGGAGGACTAGTTCCTATATTCTGTGTCTTAATTTTGTTCTCTGTGATACTTTATCTTGTTTGGACTAACGTCATGGGACAGTCCACTTCAAAACCTCTAGATTTAGTACTGCTTCACTTCAAGGAAGTTAGGATTCGAGCTTGCAGTCTGTCAGTAGATGTCAAAAAGGGAAAAATGACTACATTCTGTACATCTGAATGGCCTGCTTTCGAGGTAGGATGGCCTCCTGAGGGTACTTTTCACCTTCCAGTCATAGAAGCAGTAGAAGGAAGAGTTATCCAGCGTGCAGGGGGCCATCCCAACCAGGTCCCATATATTGTTACCTGGAAAAGTTTAGTTACTGATCCCCCTGTATGGGTAAACCCTTTTCTCCTTCCCCCAGTTTCTCCAGTCTTTTCTCAGGTCCTGGTGACTCAAAATCCAGAAGAAAGGACCCTTAGACAGAAACAGGAGCCAAAGCGGACTTCGGCCTCACCCTCAGCTCCCCTCTGTCCGGTCTTACAAGGAGGAACTCATCTTCCCTCCTCCTTATAGACTCCCCCCAACCCCTCCTGCCCCTATACCCGAACTCCCATTACCCTTACCACCTGAACCCTCACCACCTTCTCCCGCTCCTCCATCTGAGGAAGGGCCGGCCCACGGAACCCGCAGCAGAAGGGGAGCCACCCCAGAAGCAGACTCCACAGTGCTCCCCTTGCGGACTATAGGGCCAATGGATGAAACAGGAAATCAGCCCCACCACTATCGGCCTTTCCCCTCCTCTGATCTTTACAATTGGAAATCTCAAACCCCCCCCTTCTCAGAAAACCCTAAGGGGCTCATTGGGTTACTGGAGACTGTACTCTTTACTCATCAACCCACTTGGGATTATTGTCAGCAATTGTTACAGGTTCTGTTTACAACTGAGGAGCGAGAACGAATCCTGCTAGAAGCACGGAAACTGGTTCCTGGCCCAACAGGGGTCCCCACCATAAACCCTGCTGACATCAATGCCAGATTTCCCCTTGTCCATCCCACTTGGGATTATAACACGGAAGAAGGTAAGGAGCGCCTCAAGGTCTACCGCCAGGCTCTATTAGCAGGTCTCAAGGCGGCTGCTAGAAGGCCCACTAATCTGACTAGGGTATATGATTTAAGGCAGGAAGCAAATGAAAGCCCGGCTGCTTTCCTGGAACGGGTGATGGAAGCCTTTAGGCAATTCACCCCGTTCGACCCAGGGCATACAGACCATAAGTCAACCGTGGCAATGGCTTTCATTAATCAGGCTGCACCAGACATTAAGAAAAAACTACAAAAAGTTGAACGCCTCGGAGAAAAAATCTCCGAGACTTAGTAGAAATAGCAGAAAAAGTATACAATAATAGGGACAGTGCAGAGGAAAAACATGTAAAGGCAGAAAAAAGACAAAATAGGGACCTGGCTAGAGTATTGTTGGCCATGACGGCAAACCCCGAGGACCGCCGCTGTCAATTACAAAAAATAGCAGAAAAGGAAAAACAAAGAAAGGGACCAGATAGGGAGACATGCCCTTTTTGCAAGGAGGAAGGACACTGACTAAAAGATTGCCCAACTGGAAGGAACCGGTGCACCTTTTGCAAGGAAGAGGGACACTGGTTCAACGACTGTCCTAAAAGAAAAAACAAACCTAAGGTATTGTTCGCTGGAGAAGACAGTGATAAATGGGGACAGGGTTCGGAGCCCCTCCCCAAACCCAGGGTAACTCTTAAGGTGGAGGGGAAACCAACTAACTTCTTGGTGGACACTGGAGCTCAACACTCAGTATTACTAGAGGCCCATGGGCCCATTTCAAGTAAGTGGTCTTGGGTCCAAGGTGCCACTGGGACCAAACAGTATTCATGGACTACCCAAAGATCGGTGGACTAGGCGTGGGCTGGGTAACCCACTCTTTTATGGTAATTCCAGATTGTCCTTACCCCTTGCTAGAGAGAGACCTTTTGTCAAATATGAAGGCCCAAATTCATTTTGGTCCACAAAGAGCACAACTCTTAAGCTCAGACGGGAAACCTATCCAGGTTCTCTCCCTCCAGTTGACAGATGAATATTGCCTATATGAAAAGTCCCTAACCCCTGATGCCCACATTGACAGATGGCTCCAAAAATACCCACAAGCTTGGGCCAAGACGGGGGATCTAAGGTTAGCGAGTCATCACCCACTGGTGTTTGTTGAACTCAAGCCTGGGGCTGACCCAGTTGCAGTCAGACAGTACCCCATGCCTCAACAAGCCAAGGAGGGAATCAGACCCCACATCCACCTGATGGGTTTAACTCCCTTTGAAATTATGTACAGAAAACCTGCCCCTATTATTCCAAACCTCCAGGCAGCAGCCCTAATGGATATTAAGGATAACAATCTGTTACAGGAAATCCAGGCCATCCAATGATCTCACGAACATGTATGGCCTAAACTACGTGCTCTTTATGAATCAGGTCCACCTCCAGAGCCTCATCAGTACCAGCCTGGTGACTGGGTTTATGTCAAACGCCATCGACAAGAAATCCTTGAGCCACGATGGAAAGGACCTTACATCATCCTGTTGACCACTCCAACTACCTTAAAAGTGGACAGAATAGCTGCCTGGATTCACTACACCCACGTGAGACCTGCCGACCCCTTCCAAGTCCCAGAAAACTATATCAACCCAGAGGCTCAACAATGGAAACTACACCCCGACAAGAAAAACCCACTCAAGCTACGACTCTCCCGTCACTGATACCGCGGATGCGATTCCTTCAAACTTTCACGACATTATTCTTGATTCTAGTCATTCCACTAACTGTATGTAACGCGGGCCCTAACCCGTATCCCCATAACCCCCACCAACCCCTTAACCTCACTTGGGTACTTATCGACACTTCCACAGGAGACATTATAAAACAACAATCCAAAGTCGCTCCTGAACATACTTGGTTTCCAGATTTTACCTTTGACCTGCAGGATCTAACAAGAAATAGTCATGGGGGACCATCCAGTAGTTGGCTGAAAAAGGCCTATTTCTATGTCTGCCCAGGACATAAAAACACAGATCAATCCTGGAGACAGAAATGTGGGGGAGCTGATTACTATTATTGCGCTAGTTGGGCCTGTGTAAGTACTGGAGACATATATTGGGAGGCGCCAACAAAAGATGACTTAATCCAAGTAAAACGAAATGGGACTCGACCAAGGGATGATTATAGGGTAGATTCCAAATGGTATAATAATTGCCAAAGAAATCAGAGATGTAATCCCATAATCCTACAGTTTACACAAAAAGGAAAATCGGCTCCCGGGTGGGAATTAGGAAAAACTTGGGGACTGTACATGTATATGACGTGGGGGCGAGGAACAGGCCTCCCAGGATCTCTCTTCACCCTCCGGCTTATAAAGAGCCCTATCTTTAGTAGCTCGCCCGCTGCAATAGGCCCAAACCGGATTCTTGGTAGTCAGAACATACCTAAGATTACTGGCCTGAAAAACTCAACGACGCCTCAGCCAAAACCCAGTAGCTCCCCTCGAATCACTCAGAAGGGCCTTAATCATACAACAACCCCCACACGTAAGGCCATTCCTAGCCCACCCATCCCTAACGAAGCAGGGTCCGAACCCTTATAGGACCTAATGGTCCATACCTTCAAAGCCCTCAATTCTACCAGACCTGATTTAACAGAATCGTGCTGGCTTCACTATAACCCTAAGCCCCCCTATTACGAAGGAATCGCCATCCTAGAAGTTTAACACTTCTAATACATCCACCAATGTCGATGGCAACAAACTACCACCGTCAGGCTGACCCTACAGTCCATAATGGGGCAGGGTCTATGCATAGGACAGGTGCCAGCCTCACACTCACACCTTTGCAATCGGACTGAACAGAACAAAAACGATGAATACATCATCCCGCCAGATCAAGGATGGTGGGCATGTTCCACAGGGCTCGCCCCTTGTATACATGGTACGGTCCTGAACCGCACCAAAGACTTCTGTGTTTTAGTCCAACTAGTGTCCCGGGTACTCTACCATACTAATAAAGAAATTATAACGTCCCTAACCAAATCAAGTGGTCTGATACGAGTCAAAAGAGAACCTATCACTGCCCTAACCCTAACCGTCCTTCTGGGACTGGGAATAACGGGGGCAGGGACCGGTATTTCAGCCTTGGCGACCCAAAGCAAAAGCTATCAAGACTTGAGAATGGCCATAGACACTGACATCCCAAACCTAGAAACCTCCATTGCCCATTTACAAGAGTCCCTGACTTCACTAGCAGAAGTGGTACTGCAAAATAGAAGGGGCTTAAACCTCTTATTCTTCCAACAAGGTGGATTATGTGCTGCCCTTAGAGAAGAATGCTGTTTCTATGTTGATCATGCAGGAATAGTCAAAGAATCTCTAGCTAAGGGAAGGGAAGGCCTGGCACTGCACTGGCAGTGTGGAGCCTGATGTGGGGCTCAAACTTATGAACCTTGAGATCATGACCTGAGCAGAAACCAAGAGTGGGACGCTTAACTGACTGAGCTGCCCAGGGGCCCCTACACCATGTATTTTTAAAACCAGGCTCAGACCTCTGTGCTGGATCTGAAGTGGCTTGTGTGACTTTACTGATGTTCTAATGGCTGTTGGAGCTCAGTAGACTGGGGTGAGACCATACTGGCTAAATGGACAGTAGACTAGGGCTCTGAAGGACAAGTGATCTTGGGCAGTTCATTTAACCTGTCTCAAGGCTCCAGCACCTTGTCTATAAAGTGAGAAAGTTGGACCCAGATGGACCGAGGTCCCATCTTTTGAGAAATTGGGGAGGATGATTTTTTAAAATTGTGAATAAATAAATAAATAAAAATTGTGATAAAATTCATGCACGATACAGTTTGCCCGTTTAAAGTGTACAAATCAGTGGTTTTAGTATATTTTAGTGAGTTGTGCAGATGTTACCACAATCAATTTGAGGACATTTTCATCCACTCAGTAAAAACCCCTGCACCCTCTGACGCCCTCAGTCTCCCCAGCCCTAAGCAACCCCAATTTACTTTCTGTTTCTATGGATTTCCCTGTTCTGGACATTCCATCAAAATGGAGTCATATATAGCACGTGGCCTTTTGTGTCTGGCTACTTTCACTTAGCATGTTGTCTAGGTTTATCCATGTTGTAGCAGGTATCAGCATGTAGGAATATTATTATGTAACATTCCATCGTGTTCTGCATTTTATCCATTTTCCAGCCAACGGATGACTAGGTTGCTTCTACCCTTTGGCTATTGTGAGTAGTACCGCTGTGGACAATCACGAGCAAGCTGTCGTGTGGGTATATGTCTTCAGTTCTTTGGGTCTACACCTAGAACTAGAATTCTTGGGCCTGTGTTTAACTTTTTGGGAAATTGTCAAGCTCTTTGCCAAAGTGGCTGCACCATTTTATACTCAAAGCAGCAACATACAGGGGTTCCAATTTCCTCACATTCTTTTTTCTTTTTAAGTTTATTTTCAGAGAAAGAGAGAAAATACACATGCAGGAATGGGGGAGGGGCAGAGAGAGAAGGAGAGAGAGGGATCCTAAGCAGGTTCCACAGGACAAGTGCGGAGCCTGAATTGGGGCTCGAATGCACGAACCCTGAGATCATGACCTGAGGCGAAATCAAAGGTGGGTAGCTTAACCAATGGAGCCACCCAGGCACCCCAAGTGTTCACTTTTAAGTTTTTTATGTACATATATGTAAATATGTTTGTTTATACACATTAAATAATATAATATAGGGGCACCTGACTGGTTCAGTTGGTAGAATATATGACTCTTGATCTCAGGGTTGTGAGTTCGAGCCCCATATTGGATATAGAATTTACTTTGAAAAATCAATCAGTCAATGGATGCCTGGCTGTTTCAGTCAGTGGAGCATGAGACTCTTGATGTTGGGGTTGCGGGTTTGAGCCTCATGCTGGGTGTAGAGATTACTTAAAAATAAAATCTGAAAAGTAAAACATGTAACTAATTCATAATAAAATGAATTTTATATTTAAAAAATAATATCATATACTGTCCTGGCAATTTATTTCCCCTTATCAATATATCATGGGAAATGTTTCTATTTCTACCATAGAGATAAATCTTATTTTTCCAAGACCTTCATCACATTGCATTGTGTGGATTTCCATAATTTATTTAAGCAACCCCTGCTAATGGGCTTTAGTTTGTTTTTAGTGTTTTTACTATTTTAAGTAAGTTTGCAATGAATATGCTACCTTTGCTACTTTTGTGAGTCTATCCAGGATAAATTTCTAACATAATTTTGATATCTGCAGTTATTATCCAGTGATCCTCTAAAGAGGTACCATTTACAATTGCTCTGAACAGCATCTCACCAGCACTTGTCAAGACTGGGCTTTAGCAACTTTTTTTCCCTTTTTTTATGGTATTTATTTTTGAGACAGACAGAGTGCAAGAGGGAAAGGGGCAGAGAGAGAGGGAGACACAGAATCCAAAGCAGGCCCCAGGCTCTGAGCTGTCAGGACAGAGCCCGATGTGGGAATCTAACTCACGAACCATGAGATCATGACCTGAGCCAAAGTCGGACACTTAACTGACTGAGCCACCCAGGCGCCCCTTTCAGCAACTTTTTTTAGAGGGAAGAAAGTTGGTGATGATCCAGTAGGGACAAATAGTCTCTTGTTTTCACTTAGATTGCTTTAGTTCTTGGGGAAGTTAGATATTACATATTTTAAAAAAAGATTTTATTTGCAAGTTATCTCTGCACCCAGCATGGGGCTGGAGCCCACAATCCTGAGATCCAGAGTTGCACATTCCACCGACCGATCCAGCCAGGCACCCCTATATTTCATGTTTTTACAGCTCATTTATGTTCTATTCTTGTCCAGTTTTTCTATATGGCTATCTCTTCCCGCTTTAGAAAAGCTTTTAGTACTTTAAGGAAAGTGTCCTGGTGCTTTTGTGGTTTCACTGTATATATGAAAATGTTTGATCCATCGGGTTTAATGTGAGTGTTAGCAGCAAGGCCGGGCTCCAGCTTGACTTTCTTCCAGCTGGCTAAGGCCATTGTCCTGCTGTCACTTATTGAAGTCTTTATCGAGCCCTGCATTCATTTAAAATACCCAAAAATAAATAAACCTTAAAAATTTTTTCAGAAGCGCTTGGGTGTCTCAGTCGGTTAAGTGTCCAACTTCAACTCAGGTCATGATCTCATGGTTTGTGAGTTCGAGCCTCACGCCGGGCTCTCCTGGAATCTGTGTTTCCCTCTCTCTCTGCCCCTACCCCACTGGCACTGTCTCTCTCTCAAAAATAAATAAACATTAAAAAATAAAATACCTCTGTGGGGGCATCTGGGGGGCTCGGTTAGTTGAGCATCCAACTCTTGATTTTGGCGCAGTTCATGATCTCACAATTTTGTGGGTTTGGGCCCCAAGTCTGGCTCTGCAGTGCTGTGGAGCAGAGGATTCTCTCTCTCTCTCTCTGCCCTTCCTTTGCTTGTGCTGTCTATCTCTCTCAAAATAAATAAACTTAAAAAAATAAAATGCCTCTGTCCTATTTTAGATGCTTATATGTATTTGGGCAGTAGTAAACTGCTTTGATGGCTGTAGTGTTTGTTAGTTTGTTTTTCATTTGTTTTTGAACTATTTTTTAGCTCAGTTTACTAGTTAATTTTTTTTCTTTAAATTTTTAAAAAAAAAATTTCTGAGAGAAGAGACAGTGTGAGCCGGGGAAGGTCAGAGAGAGAGGGAGACACAGAATCGGAAGCAGGCTCCAGGCTCTGAGCTGTCAGCACAGAGCACAATGCGGGGCTTGAACCCACGAACCCTGAGATCATGCCCTGAGCTGAAGTCGATCACTTAACCGACTAAGCCACCCAGGTGCCCCTCAGTTTACTAATTTAAACCAAGCCTAGGGAGAGGCAGGATTGGACAGAGGGTCTGAGAGTCAAACAAGTTCGGATTTGAATCCCAGCCTTAGAGTTGATCAGCTTTTTACCCCCTAGGCAAATTGTTTAACTTTCCAGTGCTTCTGGTTTGTTGTTTTGTTTTGTTTTGTTTTGTTTTTTGGACTTTCAAGTCAGATGAGGATTACTGCACTTGTGCTCCAGGAAAAGCCCCTGGGCTACTGTTCTGCTTCTGCGGGCTGTGTGGAGGTGCCTGCCCTTCCTGGGCCTGAGCTTTAGAGGGGCCGCGGTGAGGGGTGAGGGATCTGTGAGCTGAGCCGGAGGCCTGAAGGTCAGCTCCCCACCCCCACCCCCAGTCCTCCAGGTATTTGGAGTCCATCAGCACCTGCATAGCTCACTCCCCTAGTCTCCTCTTCAGAGGGAAGGCCTTCTCTGTAGATCTGAAGGGCAGCCAAGGTCTGGGTAGGTGGGTTGGGGACAGAGTGTGGACATTTGACTTGGGGCATCCACACATTAGCACTTGGGTCCCTCACTATAAGAACAGAGAGGCGTAGGTAGGAATAGAAGGGGGGGTGTCGAAGGCTCCATTTGTACTGTTGCCCTCAACCCCTCCATGTCAGAGATGGGCCTGCTGCTTCTTTCTCTCTTTTTAAAAATTAAAAAAAAAATTTTTTTTTTAATTTTTGAGAGAGAGAGAGAGAGAGAGAGAGAGAGAATCCTAAGAAGGCTCCACATTTAGCATGGAACTTGCCACAGGGCTCAATCCCATGACCCTGGGATCAGGACCTGAGCTGAAATCAAGGGTTGGGCGCTCAAGCTCAATGGACTGAGCCACCCGGGGCGCCCATCTCCCTTCTGTCTTGATAGATTGCCAGCAGGGGTGGGGGCTGGGGGAAGCGACTGGGAGTGGGATGTACGCATTTGTTCAGCCAGCAGAGATGGGGGACTGACTGGGTGTATTTCCTAGGGCTGCCCTAATAAAATACCATAAACTGGGCAACCGAAACAGCATAGATTTATGGTCTCACAATTCTAGAGATTAGAAATCCGAAATCAAAGTACCAGCGGGGGCATGTTTTCTCTGAAGGCTCCAGGGGAACATCTGTTCTGTGCTTTTCACTTAGCTTCTGGAATGGCCCCCAGTCCCTGCTGTTTCTTGACTTGTAGACATGTCACTCCCATCTCTGCCTCCGTCCCCACGCAGCTTTCTGTGCACCTGTCTTGACATGATATTTTCCTCTTCTTTTAAATTTTTTATGTTTATTTTTGAGAGAGACAGACAGACAGACAGACAGAATCGGAAGCAGGCTCCAGGTTCAGTTGTCAGTACAGAGCCCGACGTGGGGCTCGAACTCATGAACCATGAGATCATGACCTGAGTCTGTGCTCAACTGACTGAACCACCCCGGCGCCCCAATATTTTCCTCTTCTGATAAAGGCACCAGTCATTGGATCAGGACCCCCTAATGACCTCATCTTAACTTGAGTGCATCTGCAAGGATCCTATTTCTAAAAGAGGTCATGTGCACAGGTACCAAGGGTTAAGACTCGAATAGATGTTTTGGGGGTGACACAATTCAGCCCAGCACTGGGG